TAAGCGATTAGACGAAAGTACCTAATTGGTTCCGTATTTAAAAAAAATATCGTTTTTAAATTAACAACATATACATATATACACTATATTCAAAGTGAAGGTTTATTAAGGTTAAATAACCAGACTATATTCAGTATAGTCAGTTAATTGTGGCTTAACCAGCATGAGTTAACTGATTAGATTACGTTATTTCGGAATCTGGTGGACGAAGAGAAAACATAATTGGTTTTCTCAACCAAACCATTTCATTTTTTCGTCAAGACAACAAAAATTTAATTACATATAACCTTTTATTTTGTCACCCTTCATATTTATACACTTAATAAAAAGTATGTATACATACTTAGTCTAATATCTTTTAAATTAGAAATAAAAAACGAACTATATCTGGATTTAATAAATTATCTACTAGTTTCATTTTTTTCCTTTGTAGATGATCTCTCGTCATTTACTTTAATATCATACATAGAGGAATGAGGAAAATTATAATGCTCGAATATAACGTATATTACGTAAACCTTCCTACTTTCTATCATTAGTTTTTTATGACGCATCCCGAGCTAAACCATATCTTCATATAGAATAAACAGCAATTCATTTTATTTCAAGTACTTGTCATATATGTCTCTATTTCGTTATCAATTACATATATATATATATATATATATATATATATATATATGTTTTACTCTAATGAATTCATGCATCCTTGAATATCATTGTTTATACATTTCACGGATATCCGTGAAATTTATTACTCTATATAAAAAGTATCGCATATAATAACATACAAAATTGGTTCAGGTCTAAAAAACAATGGTACATTTTATGGATAAGGTACTATAAATGTTATAAATTCTTAATCCTAATAAAGTATAAAGATAAAAATGTACTTTTTTAAAGTATTTTTATAAAATAAGCAAGTAAAAGTTATGTATATTGAAACAAGAAAAAAACACGATGGTAGTAATAACGATGCGTGTTTAATATATATTTAGCATATATATCTTAATAGAAAAGTGTTTTAAAAACGTTCTTGCGCAACATTGATTTTATCGCATGATGGGTTTCAGATTATAATTCGCATTAAATATTTCCGCTGGTATGTTGCAACGCAACGAAAAGGAACTATTGTGTAACTTTATTATTGACAACTCTTTTAATTTCCACGCAAGATACACACTGTACTATATAATATTTACCTTAAACTTTACACTATAAACATACTTTATCTTTAGCTTAATTTTACTCTCTTGTCACTTATTTATTATATTTTATTAAAAAATTGCTTTCGGAAAAACATAAAACTGATATTTATTTAAAGTTTTGAAGGTTGATAGCTTTGCTCTGGCTTAAGGTCTAACTCAACTGGTATTATTATATTCTGGGACCCCCTTTTTGACCTCCTGCTAACCAAGACTTCATGCCCACAAGTTTGACCCCAAACGGAGTACTATTTTTACCCGTGGTCCTATGTCCCACAGTACCAACTCCTTCCCCTTGACTAAATAAAACGTCGGGCAGTTCATATTGTTGATAGTTAGACTTTTACAGAGATTCTAGAACTTTTAAGCCTCCAAAGGGATGTGATCTGTCGCTAAGTATTTATATCGTATATTCAAATTTTGTTATTTTGTTTGACATAGTGCCATCGTCACAACACATACAACGCCTGGATGCATTGAGTTACTAAAGTGTATGTGCATCGCGGTTACTTTTCTACGTGCAGGATGTGAAACATTCTTCCCTCGAGGTTTTTCCAGTTACCAACAACATGGGATCCTTCAAACGTAACAAGTGCAGGCACCTTCTTCATAATCAAGGCCGGCAACGCATCCACAACGCCAGACTGTAATTGTGACTGTGTTTCCCATCAGGCAGGGTGCTTGCTTGTTTGACGCTTTAACATAAAAACAAAAAACAACTATCAACCTTCTACTTGATAACCCTGTTCTGAGATTCATACAAAATCTGCTACTTCTGCTACTACATATGAGCGACCTAATTTCATGATAGCCTTAGATTAATTTCAAATAATCCACTGAAAATAGTCTTTATTTCTCTTTCCCCCGCCCTCTAACGTCACTGTGACGTGACAAGACTGATACAAAATGCACAACTTGTAATAAGTAATTGGTAATTGGTATTTTTTTTTTTCTAACTGGAACTTTATCGACAACAAGCTCCACATTCATCAGCTGTGTGTTGTCACGAAGTCTATAATTCATAAAAAAATTAGATTTTAAAACTTAAATAATTTAGTGTAAATCAACCACCTCATTACTTTTATTCTTTGAGAATATAATTATGTACACTATTGTGCAATTGTGTAAATTGTGTGTGTTATTACAAACACTTTTAATTGTTTAAGAAATAATGGTTCAAAATTGTAATTTCAGCATATTTTTAGGTATGTACCACCAGACTTTAAATAAAAGGACAAAATAAATGAGTTTATAGAAAATGGTGAACCAAAATTTGCTAGTATTCGATTTATATAAACTGTTGTTTTGAGTACTTTTCATTTTGACGGATTTAATGTGCTTTTATTAAAAATGCCATAATTTTTATAGTAATAAGTAATATTTCGCTCAATATAATAAAAGAAATAAAAAAAACGATATTTTAAACAAACTTTGTCATATTTATGCATTTATTCTTTAGATTCAAGTCTAATGTAATCATTTGCAATAGCTTGAGCGATTCATTAAAAAAAAAACAGATAAGAATGGTAATTATGTATACTGGTTTAATTAATTATTTATTTATATTATCGTTAATGGTTTCTGATTTTGTCAATTGTCTTTGCGAAATAAGAAAAAAATATCGGTTAAAGGTTGGCTGATATGTTAACGGATTTAAGTTGTTACATTAACAAAATAGACACTTTAAATATGTACTGTGTTTATAATAATCTCACCAAATATTTAATATGGATTCTCGGGACTCGCATCACAATCCGACACAAGTCTCTTCAAAAATTACCGCATCTGTCAAGTAATACATGCCTATTATTACATACTAATAGATAATATCAATCTATTAATATATATTAATAAATGTTCGACAACACGCCCGACCCTATAAACTACCTTGTCAAAATTTCACTACCGTGATCTAGATTTTAGCAGAGCCATCTAGATTTTCGTTTCGAAATACAAATAAACATAGATTCAAACCCTTACACCGTTCCCCCCTGCCAATAGCCCTCGTAGTTCGTTGTGAATAAAAACGATTTAAAGTTAATATGTATAACTAATTAAGAGTTACGTACTTTATTTAGAAAACAAATAATAATTAATATAGAATTATAGATTCACATTAGAAGTGGCTGAACTCGAATATTATTGTTAAATATATTGTTTTGTAAGTTTGGAGAATCTAAATCACTGGACTCGCTTTAAAAAAATACATATCGATATATATGTATATATTATATTACCGTATATAAAAGAAGATTATAATTAACTACCTTCTTTCTTAACATCATTTATTACTCTAATTATCCATATAATTAAAAAATTGTAATACACACCGTATAACAATTTTTTTAAGTACTAAAAAGTTTTGTTTTAAAATTTTAGACTCTATATATATTGTGGATCTTTAAACACGCCTTATGTTTTAGTAAAAATGTAGGTGACTTGAAGTAACCAATTAACGACCTTTGCCATGCCCCATGTTAAAAAGAAATGAAAAATATGTATAAAACAAAGTTAATAAAAATATTTTTAATCCTTTTCCTCCTCAATGAAATAAAGTAGAAACAAAAAATAAACGAGATTATTTTGTGAAGTACGATATATTTGTCACAACCCTGTAATAAAAGTCAACACTCAGTATAGATGTTAACACTTGTGCATGTTAGATCCAATTCTCATAACCCATCTTATTATTAAACTATACAAAAAAAAATTAAAGATAAAAAGCAAGGAATAATTTGCTTTAACTGAGTCAAATATCTCAAAGATGACAAGATTATTCATTTCATGACGAGAAGAAATCAAGGCTTTTCTTATCTTTCATTGAAATAAAATGTTAATCCATGAAGACTGTGCCAAAAGTAATAATTAATAATTAAGAGTTTTTTTTTTACAGTAATCAAACAAAATTGACTGTAGCCTCTTAGACAATTTGTTTACCTTTACTCTTACCCTTACGAAGTGTGTGTTTAGCTACTTAGCTACCACTGAAATTTCAATGATACAGATATATAATGGGAATATTGTAATTAAAATATTTAATTTGTAATAACTTCAATAAGATATATTAAAATTAGTAAAAAAATATTTAATTTTTAAAATAAAATAGAAACTTCTTATAAAGCGTATCTACTAAAATTTTAATGTACCCCAATTTCAAGATAAAAAAAAAATACCAGCAAATATATGTATATTGAAAATGGAGAAACAACGACAAACAGAAAACTCTGTGTCAAAATTATATATCATAATAAGTAAAAATACTACAATTCATGTAATACTTTATCAATACATCAGATTTCAATATTATTGACTAAATTTCTTGACATCAAATTATTATTTTGTTCCAATTACTTTTGACGTATTATTTTTGACATATCCGTTTATTAAGATAGCAAAAACAATTTGTCAACTGATTCCTGTGACAAATTGTAACAGTACAACATGTAGTAACTTTTATTTTACCTAACACTTCATAAAATTTATTTTTAAGCTTAAAACTTGTTAGAATTGTCTATCACACATACTAAAATATTTTCAAAAGTTCACTGTAATAATTAATAAATTTATAATATAGTAATGACTTACACGGTAATGTTAAGGCCTTAGTAATAAAGAAAACTCTGAAGCATATAAAACGCACACATACAATATGTCATTTGAGGCGTGAAAATGAATGTTATAAATGTGCGGCCGCTCTGCCGCCAATTACTATACGAGCCTGAAGACCTGAACGCTTTTGACTGTTGACAAATATTTATTAAAGTAGTGATAATCGGCGTTGGCCGACTGGATACAATGGACTGGTTAAAATTGGTCGGTATATTTGATTGTGATATGGTTGTGATAGTGATAGTGCCAGAGGACTGTGATATGACGTGAAGGGTTCATTTATATTTCAGTGTTTTTGAAATGGAATGGCTTCAGTGTTTAAACAAAAATTTATATCCATTTTAATGTTCAATGACTGAAAACTTTTAAATTTATAAATTGTAATATTACTTTTCTTTTAATTACATAAAAAAATTTAAATGTCAAAAATGTCTTATTGTTCTCTTCACTAACAAGAGCCATAAATAACAAATTCGTTATCAGAAAGTTGTTGTAATTAAATCATCTTTTTTATGAATACAAACATACTTTTATTAAATTCTATTTAATTTATTGTAATTAATTTAGTTTTGTATATTAAACAGTTCTTAAAAATATTTGTAATACATGTTCAACATTTTCTTTAATTTAAAAATTCAACCTTTACATTTTCTTAAATTTGGAATCTATTTTTAGAGATTTGGATTAAAATCTATTAAAATCCAACCCTAAAACAGTACGTCTTATTCTTTAACTAATATAGTGCAGTCGATGAACTTATTTCTTTTTCTTATAACATCGTTATAATATTTTTTTTTATTCACAGTTCACTCTTCTTGTAGCTGTTGCATCTATCACAGTAAAGGCAGATGGACCGAAGTAAGTATTTGTTTTAAGTATTTCTATTTACTCTATTGTAAAAAACTTTAATATGCTATGTTGATGTGTGTTCCTTTCAACCTAAAATGTCACGGATAAAAATTTTGCATTGCGATTAAACGCAAGAATCCTGCACCAGCGATCTTTTAAAAACTGCTAGGCGATAAATATTATTTTTCCAGTCATTATATAACATCAAACACAACAGTGAACTTAAATTGTTTTTCACGATAAAATATAATTAGGTGCATTATTATAAAATAACAAGACCAACCAATCGTTGGAGCGGCAACGTCACGGTACCGAGAGGGAAAACCGTTTGAATCACGCATGCCATTGACTTTAAACGGAACCAGTACAAAAAGTAGTCAAGCTTGCATGCGAATGTCATTGCCGTTTGAATAAGTCAGATTTGCTTTCTTTTTAACCGTGTTATAAATTAATAAATTATATTAATTTGACATTAGAAGTAAATACGTGTATTTGATATTTTTGTTACAGAAAAAAGATCCGTATACATCTACCACAGAAGGTGAAGCATATACACCATCACAAGAAAATTTATATTACGAACCACCCTGCACCCTCTCAATATGCTCCAGCTTACATGCCAAACGCTGAGGGTGCAGTGGGGGTATCACCGAATGTTGCATTGCCTGCAATGGGAAATATTATTCCTTTGAATTCAATGGACTTTTTTGATGAACAACAACCAAGTTTACCTCATATATCTCAATCTGCTTCCCAAATCTTACCCCTCTACCATACACGGGGATACTATGGACCGACACCGTCAGAAATAGAAGAACAAGAGTACGACACGGTTCCTCTAGAATCAGACTATCCTCTTCCATCTCATTCAAGTCAACCTAAAAAGGTGAAAATCATCAGACTCAACGAACAACCCCGTAAAAAAATTATTCGGAAACAGAAGCCTAAGCGCGTAATCGTACGTAACAAACCTCATCCAACACCATCCCCCGATGTAGAACACCCAGTTTCAACATTTCACGAGCATTTTTATTCAGATGTTGATGGATCTGGAACTATAAGAAAAATAAAAAAACCTCCACGAGTTGAAAAAATTGTAGACGGTGACACAGAACATATACATACGTATAGTGAAGAACACATTCACAAATTGTTTTTTGATCATGGTCCGAAAATTGCGGGTGTAGTAGGCGTTGATCCACTTGCTAGTATGTCATCTCTTTCTGGAGGACAAGCAATTATACCTCTCAAGGGTGGCCCAACTTTCGTTGCTTTACCAACTCATCAATTTGCGGGATTAGCTGCAGTGGGTCAAATAGCTAATAACCCACAATTTGAATATGCCTCGTTTAATCCACGTGACGTTACTCATGATCACATCTTTCACGATCATGGTGAAATAACATCCGACATTGAATTGAACAAGGAAACTTTAGGACTGCCACCTAAAGTTTCATATAATACTCAAGGATTAAAAATAGGAGGAAATCAAAAGAGACCAAAACCAAAAATTCCGCATAAATCTAAGAAAACCAACAAGCCGACAGATTTTTCTTATTATGAAAATATATACAATAGCAAACCAACTAAACAAAGGTCGCTGCTGACCACGCAAACTTTTGATGAATCTGCAGAAGCTGATTTAGAAGACTATAGATCTTCTCAAGACATCAATTTAAGAGAAAGTAATAAAAAATCACGTAAACCAACATTTTTTGGAAAAACATCAAACGATTATCGTGGACAACAAGCTAGCGTACCAGCACCTTTTGCTATTTCGTCATCAGTTATACATGAGTATAAACCAAAACGGAATTCAGCGTCTGCTCCTGCAAGTCTCACAAAAATTAGAGACCCATTTGCAAATTTTAAAGACGCGTACCCTAATAATTTTGAATACGATACATATGCATCTTCCTCAAACCTGTATACTTCCGAAGATAAAAATGACGGCGGATTTTCTCAAGAAAAAAGAACTGACAAAAAATCAATATCAACTCAAAATATTAATTTTGGTGACCAAGATCACATTTCTTTCGTTGACCACATAAACAGTGAGAGTACTTTTGATGACATTGATGATGGGCCCACAGCTCTAGAAGATGTAGAAGACTTTGATCAATCACAGTTAAGCGGCACTGCTCAGGAAACTTTCTTTTCGTCAAATGATGTTTCTTCGGCTCAACAGTATTTGCCATTTACCTCCAAAATTTCACAAGCGGATCAAGCTAGAAGACCTGATCAAGCTGCAAACGATAATTATGGCTATGCAGATGTTTCAGCACTTTCAACAATATCTTATTCACAAGAATTTTCATCAACGCTGCCTTCGGTTCAACGTAAAGATCCAAACAAAAAAACAGTCAGTGACATTTCAAAGTATAAAGATACATCAAATTCAAAAATAAATAATAGAAATAGAGAAGTTAACCAACATACCAATCAGCATAACAATTTACTAGATAACAGGGAAAATTTCAAATCAAAATCTGTACAAAACCAGGATATTTTTTCCCAAGACCCTAACATAGTTAAAGGGAAACTAAAATACGGTGATAAAATTTAAATCTACGAACTTTATTGTAATTAGTGTTGATAGGATAATTGTAAATAGATATTACTCTAATTCTATTGCTGATATAATGATATGGACGTTGTCAGTAATATCCAAAGTCGGAAAAAACGTCAGTGATAAACCTATATTTTTACCATATTTATTGAAAAATAAACCCTTAAAACAATGAAAAAGTATGTATGCATTTTAGTCAAATCCCACATAAAGTTAAAATAAATTTAATGTCAAACCAGACTTTTTATTCATTGTTTTATTTACAACTCTGGTGCAAAATCATGTCCACTCAGAAGGTTTGACTCGGCTAATACCAGTCAAATGTAGTAAGGATTGTTCATGATGATCATAAAATAAATTTTTATTTTAAGAGTGAATGAAAAAACTTAAAATGTAAATCTGTGTTATTCGCGTATAGAGCCGAAATAGTATTTAGTTAAGAAGCGAATATTTTTTATTTGAACTAGAAATAGCAAATATCACAACAGGATAGTTGTTATGTTTTATATCGGCCCATTTTGGCCTCATCTAAATGATTCGCATAAAAGATTTTTTATAACAGCAGTTCAAGTTACAGATAGTCCGGTCAAATTAGACCAAAAAATAAGAGTAAGGTTACTTAAATTCCCACCAAGCTGAAAATCGGTAAGATTGTTTAAAATATCATTAAAAAGAAAACTTGAAAGTTCCCCATTTTTTCCCTGTAGGGAAAAAATTTATTCAAGGTCAAAGGTAAAAAAATGAGTTTTTCGCTATTTTCAGCAAAACGGTAAGTTTTATCATAAAAATATTTCAGCCAAAAATTATAGATCATAAAATTAGCTACAAAGAATTAATTAATACTTTTTTTTCTACGAGCCACCGTTTTTGAGATATAACGATTCAAAAAGTTGTAATAGAGTCGAACTACTGTTATAAAATCTCATATTCTTGTCTTAGACATCGCTCTATTATTCGCTTCCATGCTTTCATAGTTTGAAAGATCTTTCTTCCTCTATAATTGTTACATTCCTGCATATAGTCCTATTCTTGAAGATGTAGGCCGGGTAGCCGTTGCATAATTTTCGGATATCGTTTCCTTTATTCAAGAGTTAATTAAAAAAATAATATTTAAAAAAATCAAGTTTGCTCTAGAACACACGACTGAAGTAAAACTTCTTTCGCTCCATCTGTATGTAATATGGTTAGCTTACAGCCAATTTCAGACTATAATGCAGAAAAAATCATTTAGTATTTAGCACACATATTTTTTTTTTTTTACTTTTGTAACGTATATTTATCTCATCAATCCTCACAATTAAAAAAGATATTAATTTTTAGATCAAAACAATCTACAATTATGTAGTATCTACGGTTGCTCCATATACGTTCCTTTGTATTTTGTAACAGTCAAAACGTTTTAATTAGTTATCATCATTACTCAGCGTTCATAGTTTTGGTAAATAATGAAAAGACATAATCAGTCAAAAGTTTATTCAAAGTATATATCTTTATATATATAATTCTTCTGTGAGTGTGTATGTCACTGAACTTCTCTCAAACGACTGGACCGATTTTGATGAAATTTTTTGTGTGTGTTCAAGGGGATCTTAGAATGGTGTAGATTCACAATTTTGTCCGCTGGACAATGTTTTTTTTTATTAATTTTTAATTTATTGGTTGTTGTTGATACAAACGTTTTTTTTACATTAGATTTGACAACTAACTAATATGTCAATCATTCTGTCGCACTTCAAAACACGGAGATTTATGGCTTTAATAGGTAAACTCCAAAAATATAAATAAAAAAAAGTAACAGATATTTCTTGATTATAGGGCGATACGAAGTTCGCCTGATCTGCTAGTATATACAGGGTAACTGGTGAATTACTATCAATATTTAAGGAGAATACTCGATACATGATTCTCATTCGAATTATGTAAAAAAAATAGGTACTTAATTTTTGACCAAATTTCCGTATAAATAAATAAAGTGTGGACACGTTCCAAGTGTTCCAAGTGTGGACTCGTGCGGCGGCGTGCTGATACAACACCACGCCGCCGCACGCTTGTGTCGCTACCCCCAACCCCCGCCCTGTGGCTAATTAGTCGGGCGAGCGCCGCCGTAAGGTCTGTACGTCCGTTTTCCGGCGCGCCTAGCGATCGATCTTACGCGTATACATAATCTGTCGTGCGTGCATGTGACCCGTTATTACTTATTAGTAATTAAGTATGGCTTATCAATACACAAATGTGTATCACACGAGAAGGAGCTCACTTGCTACCTACCTACCTAGCTACCTACCTACATAACTGTTTTGGGTCGATAACGCAGCTAGGGTGTCCACACGATGTAGCTGACTAGGCGAACTCTATTCCGTCTTAGAGGCCATAAATAATCAGGTTTTTCCTGTTTCAATCAAACAGAATGATTGACATATTAGTTAGTTGTGAAATCTAATGTCAAAAAAACGTTTGTATGGGAAATAGAAAAGGGCTGTTTTTACTGTTTTCCCGGCAATTATTTCCAATTTTTCTCACCTTTTAAACCTTCCCTGGACTTCCAGGAGCAGTGGCGGCTGTACCTTAAGTGCACTCGTGCGCTGAACCACCAATTCAAAAGATTTAAAAATTACAAAATATTACTTCATCTTTATTTTTAAATTACCATTTTAATATTTATTTTCTAAACATACAAAAACGTATAAAAATTAAATTTCTAATTATATTCAAAAAATTTGAGCGCTTTACTGAACTAATATCTCGTGCGCTTCGGCGAGTGCACGAGGACTGCTAATACATCTTGTATGAGATACGAAATAACACGCCTGGCGCGTGAAACAAAAGATAGTTCATAGAAATGTACCGAGTAATGAGTCGGTTCTCGAGCGCCGCACGAGCGACCGAACATTACCGAGAGCACCCGATGTATGACGAATTGGAATTGAAATGAATCAAAACTTTTCTCCGAAATACCTTGCACTTGATAAATGCACTTTCTGTGGTTAGTATGGAATAAAAAAACATACAAACAATACCCGATTTTAATAAATAGGTGATTGAACATTTCGCTTTGGAAAAATGTCGTTGCAACTTGCATTAATTAATGTATAAAAAATAAACATATTTTATGTCAATTGGTTTTTTGTTGCATTTTCTTATTTTAATATAAAGTAATAGTAAAGTGCACCACTAGTTCGATAACCCACCAGCCGCCACTGTCCAGGAGTATTTCAAGACTAAAATTAGCCAAATCGGTTCAGCCGTTCTTGAGTTTTAGCGAGACTAAGGAACAGCAATCCATTTTTATATATATAGAAGATTAATTTTTATTTTGTCATATATGATCGTCAAATATCACGTCCTCAAGTATCGATAGTAATTCACCAATCACCCTGTATATTTAAATAAAATGACCTCGTTCTGCTGATCGGTGGATAACAAAATGGAAGGAAAAAGTAAAGATAAAAAATGTTTATATCTTCTTCAAAAACTAATATTGTATCTAAAATTTTTACAGAAGAGGCGCTACATGGATCTAAATACATTTTACAATGTTATTGATTTTTAAAAATAAGGTCAAAATAAGCAGGAATTTAACCATTTTCCTTTTTCCGTCTTATATTTCTTTTATTTAAAAAATATGCAATAATATAAAAGTAATCATACTATATAAACATAAATAATGAATTATTTACACTCTCAGATAACCTTAACAAAGATTATTATTAAAGCTTTTTAAATATTTTATTTTAGTATTACATTTTTCAGTTTATATTTACATACGAGTATATTTCATTTACATTCTTCTAATAATATTTCGTCAATACTTTAATTTGATTTACTATTTAACAATATGTTTTAATATTCGTCTGTTATAAATACAACACCTTGAATAACGGGATAAGTTATCTGACTACATAATCATAATTTGCAACAATTTTTTTAACTTAAACTGTAACTGTAAATGTAAACTTTTTAAAACCAAGACACATTAATATTAATAAAAATATGTAAAATGTTCATACAAATAATAATAAACATACCTAAATTTAAATTTTCGATGCTTGGCCACGAGATAAATTTTGTATTGTATTGTGTGTTAACAAGAAAAATCTATCTTCCTTAGCTATATCACTTTAAGACCAAATACAGTACGCTCTATATTCTTAACAGGCGTTGACTTAAGAAAATACCTATTATACTGTATCGCTTGCATAAAAACAAAGGACCTTAATGCTTTAATGGATATGTAGGCGTGATGAGGTATAGACTTGTGGACGTACGGAGGTATGAAGGTATAAATTTATATGAAAATAAAACAGTCGACCATGAAAAACGAATTTTAATAGCCAAAACCAACTTAGAACATTTTTGTGTCTTTCAGTCTTGCTTATCTTTTTAATGACTATACTGATTTTCACTTTGTCATGAATTGAAATAAGGTTTTGTAATATATGTACATTGTCAACACTAACATAATAATAGATTCAAAGTGTAATATTTTCTCTATAGTAATCGAACCACATAAGAGTGAAGGTTCGATTGTTGTTACGTAAAGTTTGAACTAAGCACAGGAGATTGAATTCAATTACGTAATCTTAGAAAAGCACAGTGGTTATAATCAAACAATGTTTGTAAAGTTACTTGTCACTCCTTTCATAGTAGGCTTGATACCATCTTTATTAATATTATCGAGACTACATATTTGTCTAGCCAAAATAATTTTATACGTGTTATAAAACTATCGATCTTAATTCAGTTCTTAGTGGCGTGTGTCTGTTGAAGGTTACATTTCATAAATATCTTGTCATGGTCTAGCTCTTCGAATATTAAGAACTATAAAAACCAATGCGATAAACGTCCTCACGCGTATTTTACCTTACATATCTTGGAGACCACCGTTTCCCAGTTTATTTTCGTAGGTACATATTCTTCAATTATGCTTTGGGATTCACCAGAATATTGAAAGTGTAGAGGATACTAAGAAGAAGTAGAAGATTGATATGAAAATCCAGTCGTATTCCGAGGGTAGATTCTGTTTAACCTTTTTCAGACTGGGCCGTCTATTATTGACTAGCATTCTGATCATAACACCTAGGAGCTCACAGTAGATGACATTAAAGCGGTGAGAACTACTATTGGGTTTAACACTACACAGAATGAAATTGGTAACTAATGCCCATCGAAAAATAAAGTTTAGTCAACTCTGAAAAACCCTTCAATTGGAATTATCTTTAAAACTCTTCAGGGTCAGAAAAACTCTGTCCGCTATCCCCACTTGATAGGTCATCGTATCGAGTACATATAAAATTTTGACATATGTAAAATCATAAACTGATATCAAAAAGTCTTTTTAGGAATAAATTTTTCGTTTAGGTAAGTGATTTTATAATCACTCATAAAATTTGTGACTATTTTTCACATTGTGATTTGTGATTGTTCAATTACTATATTTTTATGTTGATTTTAATTCAAAAATAAATAATGATATTCGAATAAAACGCTTTAATATTCAAATAGTAATGAAAAAACTACAATTTATTTCTTAACTATCAAATCAGGATGTCTTACATAAGACTCTTTTTTTTGTTAACGCGGTGAACGGTTTTATATCTACCCCTCCGTCTAGAGGAGACGGAGGCGGTTATATATGACTGTATGACTGACGGGCCAGAAGGGCCCATGCTACCCACTAAAACCCCAGCTGTCACTCTCGTCTGTCTAGTGGATCGCCGTCTAGTCTCTGTCTAGTGGATCGCCACGGGAATCGCCGAAGCATACATCCGCGACGATCCGGCGGCAGGTCGCAAACTCCTATGGAGGGAGTCCGACCAGATTGGGGCCCCATTAAGGGCCATACTTTTCAGTATGCCGGCATATAATCGCCTGCATCGATTCCCGGGTCCTCCGAGATTTGGGAGGAGCCAGGAGAGGGCCCCCGCGGTCTTCAGCAGGCGCGTCGACAGCCCGCTAAAATGAGGGCCCCAGTGCCACCTGCTGTCGAGTATCAGGCCCAAATATTTCATCTGGGCCTGCACCCCGATGCGGACGCCCCCCACAAAAAAGTGAGCGTCGGGCAGTTGGCGTTGCCAAGACCTGTGAAAAAAGACGGCCTCTGTCTTGGACAACGCCACCGTCAGCCCCAGGCGGGAGATCCTGTCAGCAACCAAGGACCGTCCCGCCGAGGCCAGGCTGGCCGCCGACTCGAATTTTCTCTCCCGAGCACTCAGGAGGGTGTCATCTGCATAGCAGATAAGAGACGTGCCTCGGAGGAGGTTGCCTAGCAGGAGCCAGTCGAATCCGATGTTCCACAGAAGCGGTCCTAGAACAGAACCCTGTGGACACCGGACTCGACGCTGTACCGCCGCAGTCGGCCCGCCCTATTTGCGACGAGGACCGAACTGTCCTCGAAATAGTTTGTTAGAAGAGCCCGCAAGTATGAAGGCACTCCATGGTAGCGGAGTGCCTTTAGGATAGTGGAGTGGGGGATGGATTTGAAAGCGTTAGCTATTATACAGGGTGACTGGTGAATTACTATCAATATTTAAGGAGAATACTCGGTACATGATTCTCATTCGAATTATGTAAAAAAATAGGTACTTAATTTTTGACCAAATTTCCATATAAATAAATAAAGTGTGGACACGTTCCAAGTTTTCCAAGTGCGGACGCGTGCGGCGGCGTGCTGATACAACACCACGCCGCCGCACTCGTGTGTGTGTGTGTGTGTGTGTGTGTGTATACCTAATCTGTAGGGTGTTCACACGATGCGTAATTAATTACGTAACTTTTGGTTAACTTTATTTAGAAGTTTATTAATATTTATGATATATTAATTTTTATTTTGTCATATATGATCGTCAAATATCACGTCCTCAAGTATCGATAGTAATTCACCAGTCATCCTGTATATCAAAGGACACAGCCAACTCTCCATCCCCCGCTTAGATCGCCTCGCTCACCTGACCCCTCAGACGGGACAGGGCGTCCACTGTCAAACGCTCAGCCCGAAAGCCAAACTGAGCGTCCGACAGGTCTGGGCCAATTGTGCCCAGATGTCCCTTGAGGCGGGTGGCTCGCATCCCCTCGAACATTTTACCGACCTCATCGAGTAACACGATGGGTCGGTAAGCCGAGGGGGAGTCCACCGGCTGACCTTCCTTTCGTAGAAGGCACAATTGGCCTTCCTTCCATACTTTCGGGAACCTCTGACGCCAGACATGCTCCGAAAAGGTCCCGAAACCGTGGACCCATCTGGGAAGCGGAGATGGCCACCACCCTCGCAGGGATGCCGTCCGGCCCTGGGGCCGTCTTCTTCTTGCGGAGGCAGGCGATCGCCTCCTCCAACTCCTCCTCCGTAACAAGAGGCACCTCTTCCACCGTTGGGGCCACAACGCGCGGCGGGGGACTAGAAGACCCGGCGAACTTCGTATCGCCCTATAATCAAGAAATATCTGTTACGTTTTTTATTTATATTTTTGGAGTTTACCTATTAAAGCCATAAATCTCCGTGTTTTGAAGTGCGACATAATGATTTACATATTAGTTAGTTGTCAAATCTTATGTCAAAGAAAAACCTTTGTATCAACAACTACTAATGAATTTAAAAATAATTTAAAAAAAAACATTATCCAGCGGACAAAATTGTGAATCTAAACAATTCCCAGATCCCCTTGAACACACACAAAAAAATTCATCAAAATCGGTCCCGTCGTTTGAGAGAAGTTCAGTGACATACACACTCACAGAAGAATTAAGAATTATATATATAAAGATATGGAGGGCGAAAATTTTTAAGGTCGTCTGCATAAAATTAAATTCTTATTTTGATAAAAATCTATAATTGCATAAGATGGAGACGTTATTTCCACGGACGCTACTTTCACATAAAAATTATATAAATTACTCTTATATTGTTTCATTAAATGATTCTTGTGTAAAGTGAAAAATGTGAAGTGATTATTATGTTGAATTCTTAATTGTCATCCACATAAGATATAATTAAGTTTAAATTGTATTTTATATAACAAGTAAAAGTAAACCGTTATGTAAAGCGCACCTTAAGGATAATAACGACTTGAGGAAGGTCAAAGTAATTGCTGAGAAAGTGACTCTATGTTCTGTTCCCAGACGTATGTTTAAAGCTTAGACTAGCGGAAGATAATTTATGTTACCTTTGATATATAGACATGTGTTCTTTTGGCTCACTTAAGATGTTTAAAAATGTTTACTTTTTCATTAACAGTCCTTACCTTATTGGATTGTATAATAGATTTCAGATATAGATATAGTCTTTCTTAATAGATTTCAGATATTAAAAAAAACTTGATTTACCAACCTAATAATATTGAATTATCGAATGTCTGCAAAAATAAAACAGATCTAGAAAGTATACGGGAATGAAAAAATCATTAATAAAGAAAAATACACTTAAACATCTTGTATTTTTAATAGAGTTATTAAATGTTCAAATATCATCTGATCAATTAAATGTGAAAAAATCTTCTTCCGTAAACAAAGAGGCGTTCAGATGAAAGTAATAAACGATTGTGAATCACAACATTTCTCACAGATCCACGTAATTAGCAGCTCTCTAGAGAAATCAGAAAACAATCCAGTAGTCTCTTAAATTATTGTTAAACTGCTTTAAATGCTTTAAATAGATTTTATATAAACTTCTGTTGAAGAACTTATAAAAAAGATATTTTTGAAAATAACGATTACATTCAGAAACTATAATAATTTAATATATCAGACAGTTTTTACGGCCTATTGAAGTAAGTTTGGATGTATAATTTTCCTTAAAGATAATCAAAGATTTTTTCATGTTTCTTTGTGTAAAGCAACCTTGAACAAGTTTTTTACATATTGTCTTTATGGAAACAGTAAAATGAATGGAAGATTGATTATTTAAAAAAAACACTATCTTCAAATATTCTAAGCAAATGACAATAGGAAGAATAAAATCAAGTTGCTCTTTTACCATACTTCAGACTGGCTCTTTCTTCTTAGGGATTCATTTATTATTTTGCCACATTATTCTAATTAAATCACCATAAAAAAAATAAAACAAAAATAAATTAAATATTTTATAATTATTTAAAACATAACAATAAGTATAATCTAACAATCTTATTTACAAACAACAATTGTACTGTAATACTGGACATATCAACATCAGCGAAAAGGTTGACTTAGGGTTAATAGTACTTTTAATTTATTTGTTATTCTTATTTTTTATGGTAGGGGCCACCTCCATATCCGGCGCCTAATGCGTTTGTATAACTGTCTCCAAAGCCTCCATGACCACCTCCATCTCCATGACCTCCTCCGTAACCACCAGATCCTCCAAGGCCAATACTGTAGCTATCATAACCACCCAAACCACCGCCTCCATGACCATGACTATTTCCGCTATAACTGTCACCGCCGTGGCCACTATCATAACCACCGCCATGGCTGCCACTTATGGAACCCAAGTTTAGAGTGGAATAACTATCGTGACCTCCACCATGACCACCTCCTCCTAAGTCTCCGAATCCCCCAGAGCCATGACTCTGGTGCCCTGAGTTTAGGCTACTGTAACTATCTAAAAATCCGTGTCCGCCACTATGATCACCGTGACCTTCAGCGTGTCCACCAAAACCGCCACCAAAATCTAATCCACTGCCATGACCACCGCTGTATCCAATGTCTCCTCCGACTCCACCTCCGTGGCTTTCAATCAGTCCTCCCCCATGACCGCCACTGGGGGCATCGCTGTAACTATCTCCAATGCCTCCACTATGCCCGCCTCCAGAGACAATGCCATGACCTCCGCCAAAACCACTGCCATGACTACCGCCAAAGCCACCACCGTGTCCGCCTCCTAAACTATAACTATCTCCATGGTTTCCTCCATGTGTCCCCCCTAAGCCATATCCTCCTCCATGACCACCTCCAAGATCACCTCCGTGTCCTCCTCCCAGACTGTAGCCACCTCCATGTCCACCGCCGTAACCATGGTCGCCTCCGTGGCCACCACCAAGACCACCTCCATGGCCTCCACCAAGACCACCTCCATGGCCACCACCATGACCACCTCCATAGCCACCTCCAAGATCATAACCACCACCTAAATCGAGGCCACCTCCTATATCATGGCCACCACCATGACCTCCTCCCAAGTCATGTCCACCATGTTCCTCTATGTCGTGGCCCCCGCCGAATCCACCACCCCCGAAGCTTCCATGACCTCCTCCGAAATCATGACCTCCGCCAAAACCACCTCCATAGCCTCCTCCATATCCGCCGCCTCCATGGCCACCACCATGACTGCTACCTCCGTGATCACTGCCTTTAAGATGGTCTATAAAACCTCCATGTAAATGATCTGCAAAACTACCTCCGGGACCACCATGTCCTCCTCCACCTCCATGGCCATGCTCATCATGTACAACTACTTCCTTTGAAGAATGATGTTCTTCCGGTATATGAACTCGGATGTGAACGCTGCAAATAAAGATAAAATGATAATAATACAATTACACATTCATATTATTCTCGCAGAACGCAAATGACAATAATGCCTTTAACACAATAAAAAATAAACATAATTTTAAAATGCTAAACAACCTTAATGTGTTGATACTAAACATACATTTTAATTAACCACAGTAAAGAAACATTATATAAATCCTAAATATCCATAAAAATTCTTGGGTGTTATCCTTATATATATAACAGAAGCAAATTAAAATTTAAAATAAATTAAATCAGAAGAGCCCCCATTTATTTACAAAAAAATCCCATTAGCTATGAAATGTATGTAAATCACAAATAAATACAGGAACATCAAAATACTAACTGTTCATGACCAAAAGTCGCTGTGCAGATTCCAATACTAGCCAGAAGAAAACAGCTAAGCTGAAATACAATATGCGCTATATAAATATTTGCTAAATTTGTAAAGCTTTACAATTAATTGGTGAAAACGAAAGCGATCAAATCAAACAACGCGGAAGTTTGGATCGGTCAGTACAAGTCGTCAAGTATAGTATGACGTAACTAAAGGATGTGGCCACTCACCCGGCAACTTGATTAGCGATAACGGATTTAACATAATATTGCAAACTCTTATTGTCTGTAAATTCTTTTATTCAATTTAATTTAGCTTATGAACTTTCACGGTTAAATAATATTTTAAATTATTATTTTTTTATTAACGTTATTGGAAATTCAATTATAACAGACTGAGTGGATTTTTAAGCTAACACTGTATATATTTCAAATAAACATGACATCGAATTTTAAAATCAAACCATAATTAACGGGTTAATAAATCGCAAAAAATATTGTAGTCAAAGCTACTCACAGTCACACGGTAAGCCATATTGTATGAACTTCCCCGACACCGCTATATTGACTTGCTGTAAACTTAGCAAAACAGCCTTTTATATGACAGTGAATGTAAACCCCCTACTTCTCATCTTAATGTATCGAATATGTAAAACTATCTTGTTTAAACAAATGAATAACGATGATTTTAGCATGTCAGAGTTGGATAAAAACAATATTCAATATTAAAATTCCAATATTTATTAAAGAAATTCAATTAAATCATATAATGTTTGAGGAATACTTATTTAAATTTATTTTTTGGGTCAGCGAAACACCAGATCGATAATCAAAACTGATAGTTAAATATAATATCAGATACTTTGATGTTTATAATATTGAAATCACCTAACTGTTCTGTTAAAAACAATAAAGCTAAAATAAAAAATATATAACAATAATTAAGAAATAATAATTATACTTATAAATAAAAAAAAAATACCTGTATGAAATACATAAGGATCTTAATTATTTTTTTTATTTACTGGACAAAGTTGACAATAAACTAAAAATAAAAACATAACATGGACATAAATGATTAACTTAAAGCACTCTGTAAGTAAGTATTTAAGATGAAATTCTAGTAAAACCATGGTAAAATATACTTCCGCCAATTATGGATATTAAACGCTTTTCTTCTGAATATTTGATATGACGATGAAGAGCTTTTGATATTTAGAAACAATCATAATAGAAAAAGCTCTACTACTAATTATACAAAAACATAACAGTTTCATATCTTTTATTTATACTCTTATAAATTATGCCGAAACCAGAAATCTAGGCCACCTAGCCAAATTGAAAGGGGCCCTTTTAATTAAGACTGTAAAATTTAAATCTATTTGTAATATTTAAATAACCATTTTTATATACATATGAATATCCATACGGTACATACACCAAAATAAAAAATAATAATTTTTGTCTGTCAGTTTATTTGTTCCGCCAATCTTTAAAATGTCTGGACCGATTTTGACGGGACTATTATGGGGAGTTAGCTGATGCAATAAGGAGTAACTTTGGCAACTTTTTATCCCGATCCCGAAATTAAGCGTTGTCAAAGAGAGTGGGTGGCGGAGTGCATGCGGTACTCAAAGGATTTATCACTGCTTTTTTTTCATACAAACGCAGTCATGAGTAATATGATAAGTAATTCTTTTTAAATATTTTCTTTTGTATGTAATCTTTAGTGACACTTTATTTTGAGGTTGTAAACTAAGATGCTACTTGCCTCCGTTGTTTAATATGACCCTTGTTAAAATAAATGATGTTTTATTTTGAGGTACAGAAAAAATCGATCTAGGATTAATCAACATGATGTCCTAAAAGATACTATTGATAACACTAGTTTACAGTATATCTGTTGCCAAAGAAATTTTAATTGTTGTTGATTAGATATGTTATGCCATTTCCAAAAATGTAATTAGAATATTTTTATCAGCTCTAGTTTTTGAGTTTCAGCTTTACAGGAATAAAACAGAAAAAATACGTAATTACTGAGAAAATCTACTAAAAGAAACATATTTAATCGTTAAGTTCTAGAAAACTACGTTTTTAAGCTCTTCTCTGATGTGTAGACTTTGGAAAATGACGTATCAGAGACCAGCAATAGTCAGACATCATATTCGTATCCCAGAAACTCTGATAGCGCTCTTTCGTGATGCTTAAGTCTTGATGCATACGCTCCCCCTGCTCCTCACTCATAGCTGTCAATGAATAAACGCCAGTCGTTGGTTAGTATTGTTTCAAGCAGATTTTTATCAAGAAGTTTTTAATGTCTGAACAAAAGGTAAAATCCGTTTTCTTCGGAAAAATAACATCGTAATTCTTTCTCTCTTGTACGATAAAAACTTATTTTAGTGTCCGAGGAAAGCAATTTTTTTTTCTTTCAGCCTTGATGCTAGCAATTATGAAGCTTGTTTTGAAAGATATAAATCTCTAACAAGATCATCTAACTCATTTTTAGTAAAGCATTTTGACTCTTTGGATATACCTTCAAATTCGCATCATTTTGTGATGTTCTTAGTCTTTTCATGTCTTGTTCTATGGGTTCTGATACTTTTGTAGGCACTGAACAGATAGATAAACGCTTCTGCACTGGACGTTAAACAGAACTAGTACTGGGGTACAGCCATTTAGCCCGATTTTTAGTGTTTAAACCGTTTATGTTCACTCTACAAAAATAAGAGTCTTCGAGATGATTTTGTGGTTCTCGCCGAATAGTCGGTGTTCCAAATTTAAAGATAGTTCTTTTACCATTTTTCAATAATCTTAAATATACCACACACCTTTTACAAACACAATTTGACGCCTAAGACTTGTCATTTTCATCCAGGAGCATCCCAAAATACTCAAAATAGGTATTTTTCACCAACGGTGTTATAACTTATCTACAGTATTTAAAGACATATTGTCCGCAAAATATATCAAAAATGATCTGGATTGTTCAAACAACATCTCCTTGAACTGCTCATGACGAAAAACTTTTGATATTTATCTTAAAACACTAAAATACGACTGTTATCAATTAATTTATAAGCTTAAATGACAAAAACCAAAAACAAAATAACTAGAGCTGCTAAAGAAATTTTGAAGGTATTTTTGACATAAACAAATCATCAGTGAACAATATCAACCATTAAATTTGCGGCAACAAACAAAAAGTTAAATTTTGTAAACTAGTGTAATAATTGTTATTAACAAAAAACATTTTTGTTAATTAATATCATTCTTTAAAAATTTACATATTTTTTAAATACATAACTTAACTACACTCTCATCACACATCACATCTTGTAAACATCTCGAACAATAACTATTTTATTATTTATTACTATCAACATATATATACCTCGAAAAAAAAAATGCGACTTATACAACCAAATTATAACACATTACACAACTGCAATTAAGTATAAACGCATCAACTGGAGTTTTTTAAATGTTACGTAAATTTGTAGGATATTTAATTATTTGTAATCTATAAAGAACATTAAAAATTAATCTATATCTATAAATATTTAGTTTTGAGTGCATTATTATGATTTTCTTCCCGTGTTCTTATACATGTCTAAATTGTTCAAATACCTATTTGACTACATATATGCGACACTGCTACTAGTCATTTCTTTGTCATCTGACAAAACGAAACTGACATACCAAAAAATATTCAGTCTTTTGATACACACGTATTCAAGGTTTAAACTCTTTTTGAAATATGTGTAACTTTATTATTAATTTTACATAAATTAAATTCTTAAAACAATATAAATATAGACTACACATGAAATGCAACAAAACAATATAATCAAAATAAATGACTAATGAGGTGAAATAAAGATTTCGCAAAAGATAATTATTCTCGAAAATCTAATTTCATATTCATAGTTCATCATAGTAAATCATCAATGTTAGTTTGTGATATTTATGATACAAATAATTATTCGGTACGATTACGTGTGTACATTCACTTTTTTTTAGAGAGGAAGTAGATTATGTAACATGCCCTGTGCCTATCTTCTTAAACCTTTATTTTAACAAAAATTATAAAGAACTCGAAATTTGTGGTTGCGAAATATTTCTGGATGTATTTTTTTTTTAATTAAGTAACAATCTGTTAATTAAAAGTGAAAGTAACTCATAAAATTTTCTGTAAAATTTCGATCAACGCTGCTTAAATATAATACGTTTTTCCTCGATTTTTAAGTAAAATCTCATATTTAAATTAAGATCTAACTATCAAGATTCTTTTCACTCATTGCCTCTCGATGGACAACGCACCGTCAATCAACTTAAGATTAAAATCAAACCGGCCTTCCTCGGCGATTTACAGCTTAGCAAAGGAAATTGTGTGACATAACACGGAGCTGACCATATCTCGTTTTTGCGACAACTGTTTCGGGAAGTACTCCTATACGCTAGGGTCAGTAAACTATCTGAACACCACTTTCACAGTCAGAAATCACTTATTACAAGGCGTTCACTAAACAGCTAACGATGATGCATTATATAATTGAACATCAAAATTCAAATTGTCCATGTGACTATGGTTGTTTTTTTGGAATTAAAACAATGTTGTCATTCAATACAAATTTGAAAAACCTACATCAATTAAGTTTTTAGGTTAAGTTTTTAAAACTAATTTCTTTTTAAACTGATCATAACAACTCTGATCTTGTTTTCCTTTATCTTATGATTTTGAGCTTAAATAAAACATAATTTATCGTTAGAAAACTAAGCATAATACCTACTTTATTCGAACATAAGTGTGAAAGAAAATGTATGTATCTTTTTATCACTAGTGTTGATTAAGAAGAAAGCAGGTTAGAGTTGAATAACCTTAAACGTAATAATAAAAATATGTATCTGTATATTATTATAACACTCTTGACTGTAGTTTTTTTTATATAATACTATTCTAAACAATAATCATATGTTGAAGCAAGTTGCTTTATTTTATAAAATAAAATCTTACAACTGGTTTTATGTCACATTTCATAACGACTGCAATTTAGTTGTCGAAGTTGGTAAAACTATTTTAAATGCCACTTATACTTCCCACTTAATATCCATAAAATTTTATTTATTTTCAACATAATAGAGAAATATTTGTTAACCCGTTTAATGTTGCAACAATTTCTTAATGGCCATAACTAATTCATATCTTCCTCAACATATGCTTTAAATGCATTATGTTACTATAAAATACAATCAGTATATTATTTTATGAATTAAATAGTTTTTATTTATTGTGTTTTTAAACACAAACAAAATATTTTCCTGATAACTCGGATATATGTATATATGGATTACATCTTAAACGAATAGTGAAACGTAATCGAATAATCTTATACGAGCTAGGAATACGTGCCATAAGTATTCATCGTTAAATTACAGTGAAGTGGACATAAAGATTAATAGGGAAAATCTAACTTGTATGTATTATATAAATATAAGAAACAAGTGAATATTGCTAAAAGAACTTATACTTTTTTACGGTCTCAATTTAATAAATAATAGTGTTTGAACCGTGGCTACGGATACGGAATTTCATATTTAATTTGACATAGTAAGAGGAAAAAACATGTGAATGCTCTACCTTGGCTATCCTGGGTATTATTATGAATATGAATGACATCGCTAAATCACTCACAGAAAGATGTAGGTATTATCCATAGGTAATTTGAGTACTTACTCTTAGTATTCTTTATTAAACTTCTTTATATAATGCTAACTCCATCCCTTTAAACAAAATTTTACACATAGATACAAATTATAAAATGAGATGAGTGATAATTTATGTGTAACATATTATTTATTCATGTAAAAGGGAATAGAAATTATTTCATATTATTTCATAATTAATTAGAATTCGCTAAAATTGAAGGCGTTAGAGTGCATGGTAAACATTAGAACTAAGTTCTTGGGTTCCCACTTATTACGATTATGCCAGACACTTTTTCGCTTCGCTTGATTCGCTTATGAATTTAAAAAAAAAGTGCTAAATACTATTATAACATGCAAAAATGTTATACGTTGTAACATCATAGTATGTTTTTTATTTATCCTTTCCATTTAATTTAAATTGTAAATACACTTATAAATATAACGATCGGGGCATGACAAAACTTAAAAAGCATTGTAAAAGATGGCAAGGTCAATGCACCAACGACAGCACCAACGATTCACGTCCTCTAACCGTGAAGCATTTATATTTTTATTCATTCGTGTAAAAGTCCGTCCTATTAATGTGTGTGGATCAGTCAGCTAAATATTTTTTTAGCTCAGATTTTTACATGTGTCTGACATACGATTGATCGGTAAACTGTTCATATATTTTTTTCGCCATTTTATTATTATTAAATATTTTATTTATTAACAATGGATTAATTTACTAACAGTTGATTAATTTATTAACAGTGGATTAACTTATTAACAGTTGATTAATGTATGTATTAACAGTGGATTTATTTATTAACAGTTGATTAATTTATTAAGAGTAGATTAACTTATTAACAGTTGATTAATTTTTTAACAGTGGATTAACTTATTAACAGTGGATTAACTTATTAACAGTAAATTAACTTATTAACAGTTGATTAATTTATTAACAGTGGATTAATTTATTAACAGTTGATTAATTTTTAACAGTGGATTGACTTATTAACAGTGGATTAACTTATTAACAGTAAATTAACTTATTAACAGTTGATTAATTTATTAACAGTGGATTAATTTATTAACAGTGGATTTACTAACAGTTGATTAATGTATTGACAATGGATCAATTTATTAACAGTAGATTAACTTATTAACAGTTGATTAATTTATTAACGATAAGAAGGAAAGTTAGAGAATGATAATCATTGGGACTCGACATTAGAAGAGGCTGAACATTGTAGATGAGCAGCTAAGGTGAGAGATCTTTTGCATTCTCATGGCGACGTGTGGTCTTTCAAATCCTCAGATATTATGGGAAAAGTACCAAAATGATATATCTGACGATATTTTGCACTGACTACAACAAAATAATCCCAATGTCACATATTATGATTTAGTATATAACGAGGCGCTGACTAAGATTCAAAACCAAGTGATGGCTATATCTGGGAAGACATTATCAGATTTTGGAATGAACCGGCCACAAGGAATCGAAGAAGTCAATAGTGATTTAATAAGAGAACTGGACTACAATGTCTCTTCTTTACAGCAACAAATATCAGAGTCTGTTCCTCGACTGAACACGGAATAAAAATTAGTTTTTGATATTGTTGTGCAAAGAATCGATAATGGTGAGGGCGGATTGGTTTTCTTAGATGCGCCAGGAGGCACTAGGAAAACTTTTCAATAAATTTACTTTTAGCCCAAATCCGAAAAGACAAAGGAATAACTGTTGCCGTAGCTTCCTCTGGGATTGTGGCGACGCTGCTCGATGGAGGCCGCATGGAACATTCAGTAGTTAAACTCCCATTAAATTTACCTCATAAGGAAATTGCAGTTTCTAACATTACAAAAACAGCGATCGTAGCCAAATTAAATCAAGAATTTTGTAATGCTGTTCATAACTTGGAAGATCTTAAAAACAACGTCTATTCCGGTTTGAAATATAACATAAGGAATAGAGAGTGGCTGTGTGAAAAGGCAATATTAGCACCGACCAATGAAATTGTGGAACAGACCAATGAACGAACGCTGTCACATGTGCAAAGCGATGTTGTAGAATATTTATCAGTAGATATTGTCATGGACAGTGAACAGGTTACATCTTATCCTACAGAGTTTCTCAACTCTTTAGAGCTGTCAGGAGTGCCGTCTCATAAGCTGAGACTGAAAGTTGGGGTTCCAGTTTTGTTAATGAGAAACCTCGAAGCGCCGAGACTATGCAACGGAACACGATTGCAAATTACGCAGCTAGGACGCAATATTATTAGAGCAATTATAATAAAAGGAATAGCTAAAGATGAATAAGTTTAAATTCAAAGCATACCCATGATCCCTACAGATTCACCTTTTCAGTTTAAAAGAATCCAGTTTCTCCTCAAACCCGCCTACACAATGACCATTAACAAAGCGCAACTGCAAACACTTAAAGTAGCAGGTGTCCATTTAGAGAAAAACTGTTTTTCGCATGGCCAACTGTACGTGGCCTGCTCGCGAGTGTCGAGTCCAAACAATCTCCACATTTTAACAAATAATCAGCAAACAGCAAACGTTGTGTACAAAAATGTTTTAAATAAGGTCATTTTAAAATATTTTTGTACACAACGTGACGCTGGTCCCGGGAAGTGTCTCTTGGACATAAGGGACCACTAAATTTTCCTGGGAACTTTCTGCCACTTAATGGAATACATACCTTATAAGTACTTATTACCTACTGTAAACAGATATTTTCTATTTTTTTAAACATATCTACTCTCTTTTAACCAAATGCTATACCCAAATCTATACCATTCCTTTATTATAATCCTTAATATTCAAATAAATTTACTATAACTGTGTAAATGTTTGTTTGACGGCTAATATGCTGAGCCGTTTGTTATAAAATTGGATATGGATAGTCTGAAATCTGAAAAAGAACATAAGCTACTTTTTATCAAAACTCCACGCGGGTGAAGCCGCAGGCGGAAGCTAGTTTAATTAAAAAAACTGTTTTAAAAATTCTTTCGTTACAGATAGTTACTATTTCCTTTACAAAGATAAAATAGGTTCAACAGAAACAATGTAACTCAAATTAAATTTTTTTTTCTAAAAGTAATTACTTGCCGTGTTCTTAAAACAATTTTCTATAAATAATACATTGGTTGTAATAACAATAACAAATTGATTACACAAATATCCGCAGCGATATTTATCGATTTATTACGTTAAGTTAAGCCTACCTGTTGTGAAGTTACAACAACAGTTTTTTTTTTTTTTAATTTTAATGTTGTTTAGTTATTAACTTAGTAATGGAAATAAAACGCCTTACACAAATAGTCTTACATGCCTTACTGCAAAACCAAAAGCAAAAAGGTACCAGCTAAAATAAATGACTAAAATTTATTTTTCTTTTCAGTTGGTACTAATTTTCTGTCACAATTTTTGGAAATGACAAATTAAACAAATATCACTTTCAGAAATAAGTTCTATGGATATCATAGTCTTAACAATTTACACGTTTAGACAGATCGAGTTGGCAGTGCCTAATTTACTGCGAGAACTTATAATTCGTACAACGCTATTGTTGGTATTAACCGTTTTGCATGTTAAATATCAACCTGAAGCAATCTATATAACAGATGTAGAAATGATAAATGAGTACAGAAAACCCAGAAGAGACTCATACGTATCTCCGTGGGCAATGATGCTATTGATTATATTTGTCCCTCTAATAATATTGTCTCTTCCAGCCATTCTTGTAAGAAATACGGAGACCATTCAGCCTCTACTTGGATGGACCCTGGCTCTCTTATTGAATGGTATTGTGACGGAGGCATTGAAACTGTTTATGTGCAGACCACGCCCGGATTTTTTTTACCGTTGTTACCCTACAGGAATCGTTTCATCAGAATTACAATCAGGCGATATTCAAGATATCATCGAAGGAAGGAAGTCTTTTCCGAGCGGTCACAGCAGTTTTGCGTTCTGTTCGCTCGGGTTTCTAAGTTTATGGTTAAGAAAAAGTCTTTGTGCAACGAACGATAATACTATAAGGATAAATATATTATGTGTTACACCTTTACTGGTGGCGTTTGTGATAGGCGTTAGCAGATTGTGTGATAACCATCACCATTTTCAAGATGTGCTGGCTGGTTGTGTTATTGGAACACTGATCTCGTACATATGCTACACTCTATACTCTCCCGAAAATAGGCTCCATAACAGAACATCACATATCCATTACGATATGTCAGAAATGCAATCGACATCTTGACTAAGCTTTCGATGATTATGAATCCAAAATTCATGGTCAATAATATATTGTTAAGCTTTAAAAAGAATTAAAATAAAAACAATCGTTTCCGCAATATAGAACTAAAACCATAATAAAAATTACTATTGTTTAAACTGTTTTGATCATTTTTCTATTACATTAAAACCATTATATTTTAAATACATGTATTGTGACAAATTATTATTTATCTACATCAATAACGTTCCTCCTATAAGTTTATACGATTTTATCTCGGTTCCGAAATCAAATAATGTTTAATATGGGAATGCTTTAATAAGTAAAAAAATAAAATAAAATATATTTTGTAATAATGCATGATATAGTAACCAGTAAGTACATATTTAAATCAGAATAAAAGATATAACTGTAAACAGAAATTGAAACTTAGTTGTGATATGTTAATCTGTAATCTCAGTATAAATGTCTTCATTATTATAAAATAAACATTAAAAAATCAACTATATAATAAATGCAGTAAAAGTTACTATCGAAAATCACAAAGACTTCACAGACTACAATATTTTCTCTAAATATTTGTGGTATTTTTTTTTTATCAAAGAGTCCAAATCTCTTTATGTAAAATGTATGGAAGAAAATAATAAATATTCTAATCCGTTTGACCCCTGATTATTGTTAGAGTTACATATTAATTACAAGGTACGGATATATTTTTTTAAACATCGCTATAAAATCTATTTATATAACGACCATTATAACTATTTCATGGAAGCCATATTATTTTTTTTATAATCTATAAAAATAGCAGCGATTTAATAAAACATTTAGCAAAAAAAGTACATTTGATATGTAAATATATCTGGTATCATAACTACAATAATTATTATAGTAAACGAATTTCTAGGCATAAGCTGGCATAAGAAATGTTGTTATATTTATTTAGTAATAAAATATTGTCTTAATTTTTCTTGTTAAACATCTGAGTAACACTATATAATTATTATTAAAAAAAAACTATAGGAAAAACAAACAAACGTAATACATTGCTCCTTCAGATCTAATAAACATAGAATATTAACGAAACAAGGATAGACAGATATAGAAAAGAAATATTATCTGCCCTCCTAGCATCACAAATAAATATGATACAAGAAAAAAATAACAAAATAAAATAAACATGGAGCAATACGAATACTTTAAAATTATATAGAACATATTAAAACATATATCTGATAAATGTCATCACAATTCATCCTTCATTTTTATATGTGATTGTACGAAATTCATCATGTCTTCAAATGATCTATCACCTTCGTAAGTCGCTAGATATTGGCCGGCTTTGTATATTTTGAATGTTGGTAGTGTTTGTATGGAAGCAAGGTCAGCGACCTTTGGGTTTTCGGCTGCATCCACAGCTATGGCTACAGCTTGGCCATTCCCTTCCTTTAAAGACGTAGCTAGTCGACTGAAGGCTGGCTTCACGGTCGAACAATGGCCACACCCTGTTTATACAAAAACAAATTAATCTATACTAATATTATAAAGCTGAAGAGTTTGTTTGTTTGTTTGAAAGCGCTAATCTTCGAAACTACTGGTTCGAATTGAATAATTCTTTTTGTGTTGGATAGTCCAGTTATCGAGGGAGGCTGTAGGCTATATAACATCACGCTACGACCAATAGGAGCAAAGATATAGTGGTAAATGTGTAAAAAACGGGAGAAATTATTTCATCTTTGAAGCCTTCCGTTGCGTGCGCCGTGAAAACGGTTCAAGATACACAAAAAATATGTATTAAAGAATAATAGCTCTTTTAATGATCTAAAAAACAGTCCGCGATAGTATATGTCTATCTTTTAAGATTAACTCACAAAAACCGTTTTTATGGTACCTAATTTTATCGAAATAATTTGTTTAAGTTGTATCAAAATAATAATATTAATTTTTATTCATATAAACAAATAAATATGTTGTTGGTTAAGAGTACTTCATTATTAATAAAAAAAAAACATAGGTTTCATCCTAAAAATTCTACGGGAACTCGACCATTCCGAAAACCCCGCAAGAACGGGAACTATGTGGGAAGAACCAAAAATCTGCCGGAAGTAACTATTCCACGCGGACGAAGCCGCGGCAAAAGCTAGTATCTGAATAAAAATGATTCTTACATAACACTATATATTATAATATAATCAATAATCAGTGTGAGATATCACAACGTCAACCTTGTCAGAAAGAATAAATGTACTTCTATTTAGTATACTTGTTTAAATTATATTCTTATTATTGCTCCTCCGGAAATGGATGGAAAACACACATTTCATGTATAAAAAATACTATGCGACATCTGTTGAAAACGAGTTTTTTTTTATTACAATTTTGAAGGGCGTACACAATTTGACAATGCAAACATGTTGATTTGGCTTCATAAATAGAAGTAGAATAATACTTATTAAAATAATAAATACATTAATTCATTGTACTCACAAGTAGCATAGAACATGACAAACGTAGGTTTATCATTAGCAATGATGTCGGTGAAGTCATTATCGTCAGCTAGTTGCACGTTTGTTCCAAAACCAGCTTCCTGATTGCTTTTAGCCTTTTGTGATAACTGTTGTCTATCCAACTGACTGTTTATAAACGATACGAAATCTGCTTCCTGAAAATAAGTATAGTACATTTATATGTATCTATATTATTATTAATTCTTCTCTTCTACCTGGCAATTTTTCCCAGCTGTAGCCAGGGTCTGCCTAACATGTTGTGAATGGTTTTGGCTATTTGTTTTTACGACCGGCCGCCTGCCTGACATCAACCCTCTTTTTGGGAATCAACATTAATCAGTGATGTCTAAATATTCTTAGAAAGTACATATGACTCGGAAAAATCACATTGGTACTTGCCCGGGCCAGGATCGAACTCGCGCCCTCGGCAACGAGAGGCGGGCCCTTTAACCACTGAGCCACCACTGACTTTATTAAGTTATTTTGTATGTATTATTAATATACATACAAAATAACTTAGACATAGTCACAGTTTAAATCTATCTTAATCACTACCGAAAAAGGGCGAGACTCATTGCATTTTATTTTTAATAAACTTTGTTGCCTTAAGTATATTTATACGAGCGGCTTTCAGAATAAGCTATGCGCATAATTTAAAATTTTTGGACATCAAATGTGCTAAAAATAAGATGTTCTGAGTTTATATTCTTAAATAGTAAAATAAGGTCGGCAAAGAATAAAAGCTTGAAATTTTGCGCTGAGCCCCTGTCAAATACTACTATTGCTATATTTGTAGTCCAGTACTGATCCTAATATAAAGATATTCAGAACTAAAGAGAGTATCAAGTCCAAAATAAAGTTTAGTATGCATTTTTTTAAATAATATTAGCCAAAAATATGATATGAAATAATTATACATATTGGTAATTATCACACCATGAGTAATAATAAGATTTATTGAGTCAAAATTTGTGCACTTTTGGTACACCCACATAAAAAAATCTAGTTATTCATTGTTATGACCTTTACTGGCAACACTAACTTTAACATTCACGGAATAAAAATATATCAGTAATAAAGAATGATATCTCTATAATATATATTTTTATAATTATTATGGAGTGTCGGATTTTATGTTGCTGATATTCAATGTGGACTGCATGTAAGCAATAAATTTATGGTATTATTTTATAAGCTAATAAATATGTCCAGTTCCTTCCTATAATATTAAATAATTTTAAAACGTTCACAAATTAATAAATACCTTTCTTCCTCCGGTATAATCCTGCACTACTTTGTCGAAGTGACTAAAGTACTTGATGGTGGGATAGCCTTTGACGTCATAGTTGGCACACACATCTTTGTGTACAGTACAGTCAACAGCACCAAACGCTATTATAAGTTCATCAGCAAATTTATCTGCGGCCTTCACAAACTCTGGTTTTGTACTTTTGCAGTGACCGCACCCTGGTGAATGAAGTAAATTGATAATAATTTTAAAACTTTATATTGTCCTCGGGGACATGGACACCACGAAAAGAAAAAAAACATACAATGACTTTAATTTGAACTAAAACTTTTAAAATATATCAAAAAGTAAAAAAAAATCAAATCCAACTAGAATTTATAACAGGTTTTTATGACTTTTATATTTATAGACAGAATATTTGAAAAACAATATGAATACTGTATTTACATTCGACGTGTCTACGTTGGCATCCTCGTCAATAATGTCTTTTATTAGATTAATTTGAATCAAAAATATTGCAATATAAAGACGCAAATAACATTAAACAAGGAAAAAACATACAATTCATATGTATTATCATGTAAAAGCACTCGTTTTTATTGTATCAAATCCCTGACGATAATTATTTAAAAGTACAAATCGCAATACTTGTAGCATATAAGGCGTTTAAAGTCAACTTATTGATATATTAAGCATTATAGAACTTGAAATATGAATATGTGACACCGTGGTATAAAAAATACCAGGTATTTGTATGATATATGAGTCAAAATATTATGGGCACACTATGCGAAGGTATGAATGTAACAAGAAGAACGTTAGATGCGAACGTGGGTAATATGTGGATTTAGTTAGACTTAAGAAAAGATGGATGGATTGCATGAAGGATCACATGAATATAGGGGTGAGCGCTGATAGGCGAGAATGGAAGAAAGGAACATGTTGTGACCCTACATGTAGTGGGACCAGGTCAGGGAAAAGAAAATGAGTAATTATATTATAATACATGGGGCGTAGAACATGACGAGCGCGTGCTTGATCTTCCGCAGCGTGTTCTTGAAGGTCGCGGTGTCGAGGTGGCGCACGGACGACTCCTGCTCGGACCAGGGGACCTCGGGCGGCGGCGGCGGCGGCGGCTCCTGGGGAGACTATAGAAAAAAAACTATATGTATGTGTTCGCAACAAAATATCGTCGGGAATAGTGCAAATCCGCGTAACTACCATTGGATAATTCCGCATATCCACTTTGGAACCAGATTATCAGAAGAAAATTTGAGTCGATATATTTTCTATATGAAAGACTTTTAAGGTAATTTCTTCTCAATTAGTAATATACGTATAATTTCAAAATTTATAAGCTTAAAACCGACTATTTAAATAAAAGCCACTAAAACTAATAGAAATTAGAGAAAATCTCATGAACGAAAACTATGGTCTTACTTTATACAAAAATTATTACGAATATTTTTCAAACGAAAACAAATTTCAACTATTGTTTCTATAATTCATATTAGTTTTCTATCTTATCTAATGTTATCTTCTTTGGATTGAAGTTGGCAATTTGTTTTAAATAATACTTCTTTACTTGCACTCGATAAATAAGATACAATTCGATAGATTTAAAAAATAATAATTTGACATCTAGAGATAATAAATTTAAATTAATTTCATAAATTTTTCTTACGGTTTTAAGACAAAAGACAATCGTATTCAAATTCAATATTATATAGTTTCTTTATTATACATTTTTACGAATAATACGTAACAAATAACTACGAAACAATCAAAATTAAATTCATATACAAGGAAGATAGTCCAGTTGCAAAATAAAAAGTACATGTATGTCAGAAGTGGGATTCGAACCCACGCCCACAGAAGTGGACTGCGACCTGAACGCAGCGCCTTAGACCGCTCGGCCATCCTGACTCTCCTGTCCTGACCCAATTAGTTCATCGTATAATGATTAGTGAGAACTTAGTAAGAAATTGTATATGACCAATTATAAAATTAAAAAAAGATTATACCATGTTAACATTGATTTTCATATATTATATTGAAATATGATAGTGTGTTCTAACCTTAATAAATTCGATAATCTGTTCCTCTTGGCGAGCATGACCTGCGTCGTACTTATACTCCCCCTTACTGAAGTATTTTAATGTGGGATAACCTTTGACTCCGAATCGAGAAGCTAAACTGGATTCCTGGGTGGCATCCACAGCCGCAAGCACACCGTTTATCTGTAACGTAATGCGGACATATACATAATTATGTCGATTTTTGCTCATTATTATTTTATTATTTAATACTATGTGATGTTCAATATACATATTTGTCAATTTCACCTTCTCGTTTTTAATCTTAGTAGCAGCTTTCTCGAATTCAGGTTTAATTCTCTTACAATGACCACACCAAGGTGCGTAGAAGACCACGAGGGCGTGTTCAGCTTTAGATAGGACACTGTCAAACGTGCTCTCTGTAACAAACGTAGATTTATTTTTCTTTTCATACAAAGTACTGTGTAGACTTCAAATTTATATGGATAAATCATTTAAAAACGAATATTTCAAACCTAGAAACACAAATATCAATAAATAAGATTCAAACACATCCTGGAATTAAAAAGGATAAAGGTATAATTTTGATAATTACATGACCTTTACGCTAGACTTTATACAACATGCACGTATGGGATACCTTTAATATTCCTCCATAAGTGTACGAAAGATTTCATGACTTGAGTATCATGAATATATTATTTCTTAAACGTCGAAAATTTTTGACATTCATAATACAGAAGATTACGATTAAATGAAAAAGGTTCTAAATGATTTCGCTAAGCGTTTTGAGCATTGATTTCTTTATATAAACAAATAGCATAACAAAAATTGCAATACTTAAGGTTTATATGAAATACATTGTATAGAATATAATACCTCATCATCATATTATAACACGCATGTATAGTATGTCTAATATTCGAATGTCCAATCAATCCAAATAACATATTATACAAAACGAGCGTGACTTTAATAATATTTTTATTACCAGCCGTCATCAGTTAAGGAGAATGAAAATAATGTAAAAATATCATATACATATTTATAGAATTCTAAAGAATTCGCAGTCAGTACTCAATGTGATTAGATTAAAAAATATTAAACAAACCTGTTAGCTGTAAATCGCATGCACCAATAGAATCAGCTGCAAAATAGTGCTTTTCATTTCACATACTAGTATAAGAAAATAAAAGAAAATGTTCGCAAAGCCAACATGTTGTTCTTATAATAAATAGATTTAATATAAATGAATGCAAAAATAAATTCGCTGAAAGATTTTTCTTAACAATAATAATAAGTTATTTTTTTAAACACACTCTATATATTTGACCATTAAAGAATTCGCATTGAATATAAAATATCGCACATTATTACTTATGGAATGTTGCATCGCATACATGTTACTTTATAGAATAAAGATATATTCTTTTAAAAGGCCACTAAAATTCTTCCTTCCTTATATATCTTTTAATAGTGTTTTTAAGTTAAACTAGTAAACGCGGCGAACTCCGTTTCGCCACCAGCAGGCTTTTATATAACATTTCGTTTGGTGATTATAAAATGAAGAATTTTTTTTTGTTTTATATTTGAAAAGTAAATTTTTATTTCATTTCACAACAGTAATGAATTCATTTCGATTACAAAAATGAAGTGTTACTTAGTTGAACTTCTCTAAGTAAATGAAAGTGAATCCAAAGTAGATACCGAATCGAAGCGTTATACGTGTCCGCAAATTATCCGTTTCAATGAAGTGGTCCTTTGTAAACCACATTTTTTTGTTTTTTGGTCTAACTTTAACACAAATAAAGCGGATGGTTTCCAAACTCGTGAACACGCAAAATATAACGCCATGTGAAAAACAATGATTTTCTAAATTTATCCCGCAAACACTAAATAGTTTTAAGAGTTCAAACTACAAACTCAAACTACAAACACAATAAAGGTTTGTCACATGAAATTAACTGAGTAGAGAATAATGAGTAGCTGTCAAACAATGTATCATGCACCGGCGACATCTACTTAAAATATTGATTTATAGTACTAACATGTACTATGTATGATGGCGCTGTATGTGAAAAAAGATTTTCCCGCTTTTCTGTTGAAATTTTTTGTTATAAACCTCACGGAGCCCGAGACCTTTCCAACGAATGCAAAACCGTGGAAAATTGTTCGTTCGTTCGGAAGTTATAGTGTTAGGATGGCAAACCGGGCTTATTTTTATACAGTAGATCTCTTACCAATATCTAATTGTCATCATTACGTCATTACATATATCTGTCATTATACGTCAATTGCATAGCTGTCAATTGTGTTTCGTTATTCCACATTTTATAGTGACGTTATTCCACATTTTATAGTGAATATACGTTTCATTTCAAGTCCCACGGGAATGCTGTCGAATGGGATAAAAAGTAACCCATTGCATTTTCTTGGCTCTAAACTACCTCCCTGCCAATTTTCAGCTAAAGCGGTTCAGCCGTTCTTGAGTTATAAGTGGAGTAACTAACACGACCTTCTTTTATATACAGGGTGACTGGTGAATTACTATCGATACTTGAGGACGTCATATTTGACGATCATATATGACAAAATAAAAATTAATATAACATAAATATTAATAAACTTCTAAGTAAAGTTAACCAAAAGTTATGTAATTAATTACGCATCGTGTGAACACCCTACAGATTAGGTATACACACACACACACACACACACACACACACACACACACACACACACACACACGAGTGCGGCGGCGTGGTGTTGTATCAGCACGCCGCCGCACGCGTCCACACTTGGAACACTTGGAACGTGTCAACACTTTATTTATTTATACGGAAATTTTGTCAAAAATTAAGTGCCTATTTTTTTTACATAATTCGAATGAGAATCATGTAACGAGTATTCTCCTCAAAAATATTGATAGTAATTCACCAGTCACCCTGTATATAGACTAGCTTTTGCGACTTTGTCCGCGTGGAATAGTGACTTCCGGTAGATTTTTGGTTCTTCCCACATAGTTCCCGTTCTTGCGGGATTTTTGGAATGGTCGAGTTCCCGCAGTATTTTCAGGACAAAACCTATGTGGTTTTTTTTCGAGTTCCAAACTATATCTGTACAATTTTTACAGTAAATTTAATTATTTTAAAGAACTTCTGCATATACTAAAAAAAAGTGTTATTATTGTGAAACTAAATACTATCGTAAAACAAATAAAGTACCTACTATATAGAAAACATCTACAAAATGAAACTGTGTTTAAAAAGTAATATTACAATGATAATTATATCGCATAAACAAATAAGCGCTGCATTCAACCGTTCAGTATGGAGCCGACCGTGGGAATGAGCCGCGCGGCATGGTATCTCGCGAAGCTACACCCCCCTCCCGGCTTGCCCGCAAGCACCCTGCTCTTTCCCGCCGCGCCGGTCAGCGCAGAGAGCAAGTCGGTTTTGTTTCGGAGTTATTTATCACTACGCACAATCAACATCGCGACGCGATGCAGCGAAATTGTTAGTTAATTTTTAAGTTACCCAATTTTTTAAACTCGCTATATCTTTTGAATGGAGTATCCGATTAAAATAATTTAAACAGCAATATAAAGGTATTGAACTACTGTTAAATAAAAAGTAAGTTGTTTAGATAAGTATAAATACCATGGTATGAATATCGACATCTTATTTTCATTGCCGATTTAAATAGTTTGTTAAACTATAAAAGTTTTTATATTAGCGTAACTATAATACTTAGATATACACTACCGCGGACTTTTCTGTAGATAATAATGCGGTCAACAAAATCGTAGTACATTATTTTGCTCCATCATCAATAGTTATTGCAGCGCACGCGATTTAAGATATTTCAATAGTGATTTTTATCGACCGTGGTTTATGTTATCGAAGTTTTCGCAAGGATCCCTATTTTTTTTTTCAAAATAAAATATAGCCTATGTTACTTTGGAAAGATGTACAATCATAATGGTGAAGGAATTTTTAAAATCGGTCCAGTTGTTTTTGAGTCTATTCGTAACAAACAAACAAAAAATATTACCTCTTTATAATATTAGTTTAGATATATAGTTTATTGGTTCAGTGATATAAGAGTGTATTAAGTACAAATATAGAAATCGCAAAATTTTTCATAATGAAATAGTCATAAAAAGGTTTAATTGGATGTTCTTAAAAAATCAATCACATTGAAAATGTATAAAAAAAATTCACGATTATTTCTACAGACTGAAATATTATATTATTCTTTTCATGTTGCTTCTTAATGCATTGGACATATCAATTTAATCACCTAGAATACAGTGAAACAATAGTAATTTATTTTTTCCATTACTGCACAATATAACAATATAACCAGACAGACCACAAATTAAGACAAATACTTAAAAACATATCCACGTACCAAAACCAACGACAATATAAAAATACTACTACATAACATCTTCATAACATTTCAATTTGATAATAAGAACATATACCACAAACATTTCATCTATATACCTCTAGAGTATAGACTGAGATCAAATTCAGTGGAAGCATCTCATGATCGCTAAATGCCAATGAGCCATATTACCACAGCAAATCAGGGAAATTCTGTAATTGAAAGAGACTATATCATAATTTTAAGCCAACAGTAAAATATCGATAACAGTAGGTACAAAACATCCCAAACTAGACATTACACATGATTAACAATACTATAAAGATAAAGAAGAATTGTCAAAGAACAATATCAAATTGAATGACACGAAATTTATATAGCTTGCAACAACACTTAAACTTGTTGAAAAGCTGTTGGTATGCTTGATAATACAACAAATTAAAGATGCAAAAGACTAGAAAATAAAAGATGTGGGCAATTGATTTTTGCACCATGAAGACTCTCAAAAAGATCTTTTAGATACTTCATGTCAAGTGAGAATAAAAGTTCAAAAACCTCTAACGCATTAAAGATTACAAATAAAAATCAAATTAAAGAAGTAAGTTTCTGTAATCTTTTTTTTATGCATAACAATACAAAATGCTGAACACCACCATGAGAATTTTAGAACCTTTGTTAAAACAAAATGGCTAAAAATGTACATTGAATACTTATGTATCCACAAGTCTCACTTCCATAACAATTTTCTCTAATATCAACATATTTATTAACCTAACAAAATCAACAAAAGAAGACAACCAGAAAAAACTGCTAAAACAATAAAATCTCAGACACAGCATTTGACATGAAGCACACATTTTTTTAATAAAATAATATGGATGAATCAAAAGCATAACATAATCAAAAGCATAACATAACAGAAGACAAATAAAAACTTGGAAAAGTATAAATGCACAATAATAATACAACATTAAAGTAAAAATTTAAAGAGCACATAAATATTACCTGTTAAATGTATAACATCAGAATCAGTAGACCAACTTTCATCAACTGGTTCCTTTTTAACCATCTGTGACGTTGGGTCCCTCATGAATTCTACAATTGCTTTATGTTTGTTGTCTCCATTATAAGGGAATTGATATTGACCTTTCCTGTTACATATTATTTTATTATGAAATAAACTATGTATAGGTCAATACAAAAATACAATATGAAAATATAGGTGACTATCATGATACAAAGACATTTTAATTGCATTTTTTTATAAAATAATTAAATGCTTATTGATTAAATATATGGCAAATAATTTGATTCAAACTTACTCAAAGAACAACAAAGTTGGGAAACCAGTGATGTTATACACCTGTCTTATCTTAGAGTTACCAGGTTTAGAAACATCTATTGCAGCTAGGAATGCTTCACCCTGAAAGAAATCAAACATTATTAAGACAACTTCTATTTCAATATTGCCAAAAAGAATTATCTCTCAATTATATTTCAATAAAATATAAAATGTTTCATTACATTACATTCTGACAAAACCTGGCCAAGACAAATTAAACATACATTACATAAAATCTTACATATTTAACTAACAGCATTTGTTATAAGTATCCAATAAAGCAAAGAAACAGAGTTCATAAAGTTATTTTCTTTTTATAATACATATTTCGAATTTGTATGGAACATGGAAATCATTTAGATCTTCATTGCTTGTATGGCGAAGCCCACAGCCAAGCATAATTTTTTTATCGAACTTGACTCTCCTTTTGACATGTATGTTTTTGGTGAATACATTTTGTTTGTGAGGACAATTTTGTCTTATTTTAAAAACTTTGTTTCTATTTACCTTTAAGTCAGCTGCTGCAGCTACATAATCAGGCTTCAGAGATTTACAATAACCACACCATGGAGCATAAAACATGATCATTGCCTTTTTGTATGTAGCAATGCCTTTTTTAAGGAACTTGTTTAATGCCTGTAATTTTATAATATACAATTAATATAATAATTAAAACAACTTCAAAAGATGTTTTACATGTATTAAACCAATATTTGACTAGTTACCCAATGTTATTGTTGACTACAAACTAAATAATAAACAAAGAAAACAAATTCAACAGAAGTTAAAAATAGGTTATGTTGTAATTTTGCAGTAAAAGTCCATACATTACAAGTACAAGTTTATTCCGTAATGTATAGAAAATTTTATACCTTAAATTGCAAAGATCATTTATAACAAACTTATGTATATTATGCTTTTACCTAAATTTGAATTTCAATTACAAAAATTGTGAAAATCTTATAAATTTTCATTTTTTTTATTGAAATAGCTGTCATAAACACAAAACAAATTCATTTAATTTGCTAAAACATTTTATTAATTTGTTTTTCACCTGTAAATCTGGCCATTAAAGGCCAACAAAAACTGAAAAAAATTCACTTAAGGAAATGAAGTGCATGTAACCATAATGCAAGAAAAAAATAAACTTAGCTTTAGTAAAGTAAAATCACTTTATGTTATGTTATGGCTAAATTATCTATTACATGCATTAAACGCCTGATAAGAAAATATGTTTACATTCCTTAAATTAATGCATAACATATCACTGTTTACTGATGTTAAACAGCCATAACCAATTAAATAATTCTTGATAATGTCCCTCATTAGATATCTTAATTCAGATATTATTAAATATTTTAAGGCAATAAAATAAGATTAATCACAATAACATTTAAAATGATTGATGGGTAGCCATAACCTTTATATTTTACACAGTTATATATACTTGCCTCTGCATCAATAAGATGTATGATGTCTGTAGCATTTGGATCTTCTTCCCAAGGCAGATCCCCTGTTGGATCTCTCAGAAAATTCACCATAGCACTTACAGAAATGCCACGATCATAATCCTTATGGAATTCCCCATCCTTGTAATGTTTGAGTATATAGGACTTATCAGATGGAACTTTCAACTTTTTACATAACTTCTTGCCATCACTAGAAAGCAAAAGAGTTCATTAATAATAGATATTTTAATAATAAAATAGCAGTATTCCAAATCATTTTCAGATTAACAATGATTTCATAATCCTAAATTACTTTATCCGACATTTCAATTATTTGATAGTGAATACTATTATGTTAATTTTAAACATGCTGTGAGTTTATAACATGAACATTTATATTAGCTTCTGTTTCTACATACCTGTTAATGCAATCAATAGCTACCAAAGTTGCTTGTCCCTTCATATTACCAGCAGATTCTTTAAAGACATCCATAACAGACTGTGTAGCTTTTACATTATTGATATACAGAACCATTACATTTGTTTTGGTTCTCAACAACTTTTTAAATTCTTTAATGTCTTCTATATCGGTAATAGTAGAAGTTTTCTGCTTTTTTAACTGTGTCGATGTATGTATACACAGAGATATCAGGACTAGTATCTAAAAATAAACACCGATTATCAAGACATATAATTCATGCATTGCAAAATTCTTGAGAGTGTAAAGGATAAAATCTATCGAACTTTAAATAACCATGTTACCTTAAAAATTTGTTGCCGCCACATGTTTACTTAACTATTTAAATAATAAGACTATTATTATATTTCAACAATTAAAATATTTTAGTACATTATAATGTAAGTTTAAAATGTTAAAAACTTTATAAAAACTTTGATTGAACAACAAATTCAATGTATCAAAAAGTTTACACGGAAAACCGCATAAGCTTGAAGTTGAACTTGAAATTAGCGATGTCGATGTGTGAGAAATATACAAACTGTCAAATGCCAAAACCTAAATAGCCGGTAACAGATAGTTAACTGATGTCATATGATACATACTTATATTTTGAAGCCATAGTATTAAAATATATATAATGTATTAAAAAACTTTTCCAATAATTATGATTGGGTTCTATGCGTTGTACGAGAAACTTAAGATAGATTAATTTTTTGATTCAATGGAAGTGTTTTTAGAAATATTATATTCAAAATTTTATCAAAATCTTTGCAAGTTTTATCCTAAGTTTCTATCATAGGTATCATATTATACAATCAAATGCAGAAATAGATAACCTTGAAATTTATAATGGCAAAATGAAAACTACAGTGTTACTAATATTTAAAAAAGTTATCTAATTTCTTTTTGTTTTTATCATTCCTATTCGAAAGCATAGCGATGTTATATACAATTTTGAAAGGATAACAATAAAATAACGATATCTAAAAGCCTCGAAAGAATTAATATAAATAAAACTATTTTTAAGATTCACTTAGTTGGATCACAATACAAAAATAGGGGTGTTATAAGTTTGATGATGAGGTCTGTCTTTATATCTGTCTGACTCATCCTTATGGTAGCTATTAGCACTATCTAATATGGCGAGAACTCTATCAAGTGCTTCACGCGTACCACTCTTTTTATGAATGACAATCAATACAATTTCAACTTTTATTTTGAATTTATATTATTCTCAATTTTAGCTCTACCTTTAATATTTTATGCCTTGGTTTAGGTATTCCTTAGGGATAATCGTCTATTTTATAGTAAGCAGGGATCTTTAGTAACTGGTGTCATACTTTATCTGGAACAACATTTCAACTGGTATTTAAAGCATATGATCTCATCTTAAATCTTATGGACTTAGGAATGGTACATTTGCGGAATCCCAATTAAGAACAGTTACTCTAATATACCATTCAGTATTTGAAACTCTCCTAAGTTATTTAAATTTTGACTCTATGCTAAACTTTCTGTTTCAAATTTTTTTAAAGCTTTGTAGAGATAAAAGTGAAATATAAAATGGATTTTACTTACTAATTTATTATGTTGAATACTAATTATATGTATTCCTTAATTCCATACATGATAAATGAATATCATTGTAGGCATTTTAAAATTTCTAGTATCTTTACTAGCTTTAAAGGTCAGTAAACCTGATCATTTTTAATGTGATTACCTTTAGAACAATAAACAGCCTATTGGCCTATTGGCTGTTTATTGTTCTAAAGGTGTTTATTGTAATAAAGTTATTACTTTATCAACAATATATTCAGATTGTAATTAAACCCATGAAATTCATACATTATTTTTTATTTATAGCAAACCATAATTATATTAAAGGTACATGTAGCATTAATAAAAAAAAAAGCAATTACAGAAACAAAAATTATTAGAAATAACAATTATACAAACACTAACAGACTATGTATACAAAATTCAGTCTTTAATTCTCAGTAGAATCATTGATATCACCTATATCTATACCAGTGTCATCTGCTGTATCCTGCACCACTTCCTGAAAATAAAAGGTAAAATTGTCGAAAATGTAAATAATTTATTATAATCATTTACATATTGCTTAATAATCAATTTAAGCACCAATGAACAAAATAGAGTAAAAGTCAAAAAGTATAATATAGTTAATGGGTTTTATTATAAAAATTCTTATTTCTTTTGTTTTTATAAATGCATAGTTACTGAAATACCCAACCTTAAAGACATCAATAAATGTATTAGCCTCCTCGAGCATCTGCCTGTAGTGAACATTTTTTTCGAGCAATGACTCTCTTATTTTGTGAAGCCTTTCATTCTCTTGCAATGCATCTTCTAACTCAATTCTGGAACAAAAAATAAAATCATGAAATTGAGACTCAATTACTAAGTACATATTTTTTGTACATCCTTTTACAGGTTACATTTTCAAAAAGATTTTGATGAGTTTTTTAAGGAGGTTAAAATTTTAACTTGATGTTAATTTTTCTTAATTTTCTTTACACTTTCTCGGCTATTGCGTTCAGTGTTGACCGACACGGCCTGAACCGGAAATAGCTTTTTTTTCTTGGCATAGAATGTGTTAACAAAAATTTCTTTAGGTGATATAGACTGACAAAGTTGCACCATTGACTAACATTATTGACTGAATTGAAGTGAATAGTTGACCGTTGAGTTGACTGATTGCACATATAATAATATTTACTAGGATTTTTCATTCTATTAGGTTCTAGAAATGAGAAAGAATGTGATTTTGTGAAACATAAATCTAGTTTTAAAGCTATTAAACAGATCTAGTCACTATGTTTTAAAATTGTTAATGAGAAGTATAATCGAATTTATACTAAATAAGCCAAAGGGGTCGGGAAATAAACACATGGGGAGTTTATAAATTAAGAATTGGTGCAAATAAATGATGTTGAAATTCATAGTCAACAAAAATGTTAACCTTAAAAGACAGAAATAAATCCATCATGAGAAGCATAATGGTAAAAACATGTAGTAATAGTGTTGTGGAAATACACTCATGTTGAAAGAGAGATTTAATTAAGATTTGTCTACAATTTTTATTCTTAATAAAATATAGATATTAATTGTTCATTACCTTTTCTTTTCGGCAAGTAAATTCCAGTATTTTTCTGATGGCAAATCAAAACACATATCTTCTGACATACAAGCACCCAAACTTACTTGAATTGCTCTTGACACCATTTCTTTCGTGTCTTTATTCCTGAGAACAAAATAAATGTAAGTATTAGAATAATATTGGAATATACTTTCATATAAAATTGGCAGCTAAGAAGAAAACACTATATGAAGTTTAGAAAAGAAATAATAAACCTTGGTAAAAAATAGTCTGTGATATCTTTTTTTGATTTTCCATGAGTCGGATTATGACTAGATGATGTTACTTCTAAGGATTTATGACCCACCAAGCTGTCCTCGGCAGCCATCTGCAAAATTGCAAAATAGCAGTAGTATGGATAAATGACGAGACAGGCTTATGTCCGCCAGTCGACCTCACACTGTTGAGATGGAATGGATATGATAAATAATAAGATAAGTTTCATTAATTATAACGAGCTCATTACATTAATGTATCTTACCTACACCTAATTAGAAACTTTTTCTTTTATAAATATGTTATTGCTTTAATAATTTTATCGTACTCACTTTGATTATAAGGATTAAGATTTTTAATTTTATTTTTCACATATAATTTTACACTACAATAATCCTGATTGATTTTATTTATTTACGTAATATTATTTTAAAAATTACAAACAATTTATTTCCATACTTCAACTTTCAAGCCGTTACGCTAGCACAGATAATTAAAGTAGGAAACGACCTGTTAACTGTTAAGAAAAGTTATAGAGATGTCATAAAAATGTTTCGTTATCATATAATTAAATACAATTTGTTGCTAATTTGTATTTTATAATATGAATCATCGTCCATCGAAAATTTTTATTGTATACTTAACTCTTTTTTACATTATAACAAACGGATTTTAAGTCAAACTTATATAAGTCGAGCGAATAGAAATAAACAAAAACAAATTGCATATTTTGATACTATTTATTGCGATATTAGTATTTTTATAATAACATAGGATCATTAACAATGTATATTTGTGTGGCAAAACAAGATACGAAATAAAAGCTTTGAGATAGGACCAAAAAAACCATAACGAAATTAAGATCAAAACTTATATTGTAAGAGTAACAAAAATGTACCTAAAAGTTTCACTATTCTAATTGGTTGTTTTCTCTCTCTCTATAGCTAAGTTCTTAATGAATTCTGATTAAATTTTTGAATTAGATAAGAATTGTAGGCCATTTTTTAATTATGAAAAATATTTTATTTCCTTAGGTTTTTTTGTACAAAAACAGTTACTTTAATAGATTTCGTTTTTGTGTATGCCTACCGTTGGCCTGTGCTATTTTGTTTTTTTTTATATATTCAATTATGTTTTAATACATTTAAAGTAAGTGGTAAATGGTAACACTAAATAATTTCTCAATGTCAGAAAGGTCATTTGCTGTCAGCTTGTTTCCTACAATCACTTTAAGGTGACATTATAAAAATAAGTCATGCTATTGGCTAAAATTTTGACTAAATTTATACTTCTGTTTTTTCAACCAACGGGACCTTTATATTTGTTCTGTCACGTAGAAGTCAAATGAAGAGAATCCACCAACTATTTGAAGTTCAGCTTCAGGTCATTTTAATGATAACTTTGGTCTGAGCCGGTGTCTCGTCGAAATTCACCCTTTTACTTTACTGAGGAAATGTAAGTATTTTTCATCAATTGAGATTAAATAAAATTGATTATTTCTAAATACTCAAATTTTATTGGCGCAGTATAAAATCTTTACCATGGGCCGTAAATTCGTTGTCGGTGGAAATTGGAAAATGAATGGTGACAGCAACCAGATAAATGAAATCATCAATAACTTGAAGAACGGATCCTTGGATCCCAACGCTGAGGTAGGTTAGTTCAGTGCGGGGATTGGGTATATTTATAACTAAGCACTATCCGAAAGTATGTAGAAAGTTTTAACACAATTAATATTAGACTTATATATACATATTGTGATCATTCTACCCTCGCCGTATAGTATAATGAGGGATTTCATACTTATGACCCATTAAATTTTTTGACTGAAGCTTTGGATGCAATTTAAACATATTTTACTGCCATAACCTTTGATATTATATCATATGATATTATTTCTTTATTGACAAAATGTTGGATGTTACCTGATACTGAAAATTTTCCAGGTTGTAATTGGAGTTCCAGCCATTTATCTGGCTCAAGTTAGATCCAATACACCCAAAACCATTGGTGTTGCTGCTCAAAACTGCTGGAAAGCTGACAAGGGGGCTTTCACAGGTCCTTTATTTCTTCAAATTGTTTCTAGATTTCATGATAATTTAAAAAATTCTAATAGCTTTATTGTATACCATTATTTATTTAGGAGAAATATCCGCACCTATGATCAAGGATGTTGGTGCAGAGTGGGTGATTCTAGGCCATTCTGAAAGGAGAACTATTTTTGGCGAATCTGACAGTTTAGTGGCTGAGAAGGTATGACATTATTTTCTAAGTTTTTGAAAACATTCAGAATGTGCAATTACACATTTTATTCATTAGAGTTTAGCATGTTTTTAAATGTAATTAAAAATAATTTTTCACAGGTTGCCAATGCCCTTCAACACAATCTTAAAGTGATAGCCTGTATTGGAGAAACACTTGAAGAACGGGAATCTGGTAAGACTGAGGAAGTTGTATTCAGACAAACTAAAGCTCTAGTGCCAGCTATTGGTGACAAGTGGAACAATGTTGTATTGGCATATGAACCAGTATGGGCCATTGGAACTGGCAAGACTGCCTCTCCTCAACAGGTATGGCTTTTTCTTCCTTGTAAATTTTGTTCACTTCTGCTATTCTACTAATATTGTAAAACGAAAAGACAGTTTTGTGTAAAGATGTATGGATGCTTGTTGAAACAGTGTTATGTGGCTTAATCACATCCAAATAACATATAGGCAATAATTTATCTTCAAATACTGTATAATTACTCCAGGATCACTGCATAATAGTGAGCATTCCAAAAATTTTGCATTGTCACTATACATATTGAGCATGAACAGTTTTTCATGTGTCTCGTCATACTATATTATTTATTAAGTGAATTTATAAGGATGTATGATGTATTAAAAAATATATATTTTTGTCTTATGTTAACTTATTATTATTTAAACATTCACAGGCACAAGATGTCCATGCATCTCTTCGTAAATGGCTGGCCGAGAATGTATCTGCAGAAGTTGCTCAATCAGTTCGTATCCAATATGGTGGTTCAGTGACTGCTGCAAATGCAAAGGAGTTGGCAGCTTGTGAAGATATTGATGGTTTCCTAGTTGGTGGAGCCAGTCTTAAACCTGAGTTTGTTAACATTATTAATGCTAAGCATTGAATATATCATGTATCAATATTTATGTAAGAATATGTTATCAAAAATATTTTTTATTTATAATATTATTCAATATTTAGTGTGCGAGATTACTTCTCATGATTTTTGTTGTCTTCGAGTCAGTAAAGTCCATTTGATTTACTTACTTGTTTTATTTCCTACAAAATATCAGCAGCTTGTAAAATATTAACTGACATAAATTAACAATATTTTTGCATGTTAAATCTTTGTGCTTCACATTCACATCCTCCCTTTAATTACATATTTAAAATAAATATTAAGTATGATTTAGCTACCGCGTTGCCTGCGAATATTAATTAGGAAATTGATAATGTTAGATGTAAAAAAATAATATTTAGTCCTAATAACTCGCTTTCCATGTACATAATGCATTTTAACATAAATAAATATACATTTTGTTGTTAATGGAGTTTTGTTAGCTCATTGAAATTGTAAGTCTGAAGTATCTGCTATACATATTTAGTCATGGGAGAAACTTAATTTCATGCAATATTTATAAACATTGGAAAAAGTGATGTTACTTTATACTAGTTTTTGCTTGCGACATTTTTCGTGTGTAATTCAGCTCTGGGTTCAGAGGGAATTTTACGAAGGGTGTTTCATGAATGGTTGCTTTTCGCAAGAAGAATAGTCACGTGATTCCATTCGCAAAACAATTGATTCGCTTAATTCTGCAGTAACTATAGGAATTTAAGTGGTAAACTATAGCCTATGTCTTATTTTGATGTGGCTTTGTCGTAAATGACGTAAATAATAAACATCCATAAATACATATATCTCAGATTTAGATTATATATTTTAAATTACAAAATGTTACATAGCTCATATATTATATCACGTGTTGAAATGTCAGTTTCAGTTGAAATTTTAGTTTTATTGGAAAATAAATATTTTCGTTTTCCCAGAAGTAATTTCACTATTAATTAGAAGATGACTTTATTTTTAATCTTATGAGTATTTTGCATCTGCAATAAAGGTTTCTAATAAACTTGGATTACTGCTGTGTAATGTATTTTATAATGCGATTTACAAATAGAAGTGCTCAAATGCTAAATCATTTGCAAGTTTTTTTAAACCAATTACTTTTAGAAACAAATTTTTAGTCTGACGTAATAAAATGGTATCCTAATTCTGCTTTTTCCTTTTTTGAAGTTGTCTGTTCAGTTCATAGGGATCTGTAAATATTATGGACACCATACAATGTGCTCTTTTTCTGCCAAATTAAACGACGAGAGATCCAGGTAAATGGTGTCGATAACTTACTATCTCTGAGCTTGAGGAAATTTTGGAACAAACCTTGTCCCTTCGGTTAGAAACTCAGCTTATAGAGTGAATGAATGTTTACACTTAAAGGAGGAAATGCGCTGAAGTAGTATATGCCCATGAAACAAGTATAACGCGGTTTTAAGGTTTGGGCACGTTGTGATAGCAAGACTAGATATTTATACCGGTTTAAAGTATAAACTCGTAAAAAGGCGACGTGACAGAGATAGAGGCTAATATAGAAAAAGAATTGAGGAAAGCAATGATTGATCAGAACAGGGATAATACTCAGGTCACATTTGACTTTCTAATTGTTTTGTTAGAATTATTACATTAATAATTTTTAAAAATAATATTTACTCTACAGCAACTGTACGTCAGGAGCGCATGAAATTGCTTTTTTAGTAAAAAAAAAGTACAGAAAACGAAAAAAATGCTGAGAAAAAACATGTGGCTCTGAAATTAATAAAGGCCAATATCAGTGGGCATTAAAAATGTTTAATTTGTTTTTTGTGTGAAAGGTCACCAAATTAGTATAAGTAGGTACTAAGCTTTCCATATAATGCTAGCCAAAAGACTGATGTTTTATGAACCCATTTTCACTGTGAAACATACTAAAAATATGGGAGGTGTTGGCAGATTCGACCAGAAAAGTCGTACTTATTCCATATCGAGACGTAGCAGAAGCTAGTGAGATGCAGGTTTTGTATATTTTCTGATGGACAACAATGGCTACAATAACTAAATCTGCTATATTATATAGGTACACAGAATGCCAGAGTACACAATCCAATGATGACTTTGCTATTTGCTGACTTTGTTGGTGTGAAACCTTATAAACAGTTACAGCTCTAGGAAAAGGGGAGCCTCTGTTCTGCTAAACTACGAAGGGTTAAATAATTTAGATTTTTTTTTGGCTTAAGCAAATATATTTAATGAAAACTCTCTTATAAAATTTATTGTTATAAAAGGTATATTGTATTTATACTTGCAATGCAAAAACCAACATTAATTCATGAATATACATGAAGATATTGTCATACGAAATCAAGCAGTACCTTTCAAAGCATTTTATTTTTGCTCTTGCTCACAAACTTTTTATACATTGAGTCCCTAATAGTTCACGGTACAAAAATACCAATTCCCTATATATTAAACCCTGAATATTTAATACCCTTTGATTTCCCCTTGTTCTACAATACAACCAGACCCAAAGAGTAAACATTACCTAACTATTCCTTATCACACACTACCCGCCCTACAAATGGCAGATATTTTACTACCGGTTCTCCATAGCTCAATACGTCTCGTACTGGTGTAAAGTAAGCAGCAAAAAAACTTGACAGCAGTAGCCAGAATAGTATTTTCACTAAGCAATCCAGTACGAAGAGGCTGAAAAAGAAATTATTATGTTTATTAATTATATATATATATATAGATATATAAGTAAATATATTATACCTTAACTCCAAAATAAATGTTTTTTGATGATGTTACTTTTTATGAAATCAATAATAAAAATTCACGCAGTCCAATCCACAACTAGGACTTTTATCGAAAGTCATCTCAAGGTTTTTGAGTCGTTCTTAATGGCAAATTAAATAAATAATGAAAAAAAAATTATAAGTAGGTACTTACAAGTTGTGGTAGGCTCTGTTAATATGGATTTTGCTAGGATCTTCTTTAAGGCAGAAAATCCGACCTCCTTCAATACATTGCTGCAAATAAGCGTCGCGGTCAGCTGTTGTCAAATCTGTATTAAAAATAACTTGTTCCTCCTTGTCCAATTTGGACTGTAAACTATCAAAATTTGGGCACGGGAAAGTCCATGGTCTCATTGTAAAGTACTGTAAAACTTGTAAACCCTGGCTTATTCGATCTTGAACACGTACCATGCTAAAAATAGGAAGTAAATTTGAACATCAAAAATACATATATTTCCTCTTATTTAACGTGATTTAATCGCAACTTACAAACGTTTTTGTCTCAACAAGAATAAAATAAAGTCTATACAATATGCCGGTAATAGGTGATAAAATAGTCTTTTAAATTCATGCAATACGTAGTTCGTCGTGATGTCACCATTAGGGTACCACAGAGGCCAAGCCAAGGGGTACTTGCGTCCATAATCTTTACCGATTTTCAGAACCTCTCCCCACGTTGTTGGTTTTTGATGACCAATGTTTACGTTATACACTGGCATTAGCTCTGCTCTGAAAAAAGTATTTACAAAGTTTTATAGTCAGTATACAACAAAATTTTAAGATATGACAAGTTATCTATTTTTTAAGTCTCTATGCTAAGATGTATTGATAAGGTCAACTATCCACGTTCTACTTTTATATATTCTAATTAGAAACACTGCATAGGAATTAAAGTAAACTGCGAATAAATTAGAAATTAAGTAATATGTATAATTATCGACTTGCTAATAATTTACAAAAAAATTACCAAAACATGCATTTCTCATATTCAATTAGGAAACTTACTTATCTTCTTTCTTGCCTTCTATCATGCCGATAGCAATGAGTGCATTTATGCAAGTATCAACGGGAATAACTTGTGCCACGAGACTTCCATCGCAAAGCATACTTCTTATAACGCCTTTACCAGCGCCAAGCATAAGTCCTACAGGCCCGTTGAGGCTGTCCACCCACCCTGGTACAGGTTCTTTTATAGATGGACATACTGTAATATTCAGAAGTGGTTTTAATAATATAATAATTTACATAAGTCTGTGGCAACGGATTGGAATATTTATCAACCCTTCTTGTAGCCACCCATTGAGGAATTTATTTACCTTCACTAGTTTAGTGTATTGCTATTATACTACAATTCATATGTTTTTATTTTAAAGTAACCAAAAACTGCATTTTATAATTTTATGTTTATTTGCAAACTTACCTATGCTCGGTCGTACGACCACGGTAGGAAGGTTTTCATATTCATTTTCCACAATATTCTCAGCTAGTCTTTTGGAAAATGTATAACAATTAGGATGAGGTCCGAGTAAAGACGGAGTCAGAATAGCAACTTTCTTTTCATCAAGCCACTCTAGTAGATGCATTATATCAGAAGGCTTTACTGGTGGTGCATGCATCTGAAGTATATTAAAAAGTAGATAGAATATAAAAATAGATGGTATATAATAAAGTAAATAGTCTTTACAATTTTGTTTCGTCGGGAAGTTTGTAAAGAAAATATTTATTTTTGGTTTTCAATGTAGCTTAACAATCTAAGTTTTTTTATAAATATTGAATACTTATTTCAAAGTGCAACAAAAATGTATGTCATGTTTCTATTCATATTCTTTTAATTTCCTAAAGTTTTACAGTCTCAATACATACCTTTTCCTCTAGAACGGCGTAATCGGGATAGCAGAAAGCGGTTGATAGATGTATAAATACACGTAACTTCTTCAACTTTTTAGCTACATTAAGTGCTCTTTGTGTGCCGCATGTATTCATATTCACGTTTTCATTGAGGGGTGCTTCTAATTTTAGGGTTGCAGCAAAATGAAAAACAATTGAGACGTCTTCAGATATTGTTTGCATGTCTCTCTCCGATAGTCCAAAATCATCAAACAAAACATCTCCAGTTAGTGGTACTATTTTTTTCAACGCGGCTGGTTTTGTATTTCTTACGCGATCGAAAAGCTGTAAAAATGTATAAGATTGTTTCTTGTTTTTACCTAATATCCAATTTAATTGCCTGATGTTTTTATAAACAACTAAACTTTTAATAGTTAAATCAGAAATTCGTTGTTCGTTTATATTTTGGTATGAACACTGAACATATACAAACTAATACAGCAAAAAGACACTTATAAATTTTGATAACAAGGCAAACGAAAAAGACCTTACCGGTAATCTTTGCATGTCTTCATATCTTTGGTTGACGGACTTCCCTTTCTTTGGTCGCATTAAAACATAAATATTCCCTATATCAGGTATACTAAATAGAAGCTTCTCTATCAATACCTTTCCCATAAAACCCGTACCGCCGGTAACAAGAACATTTTTTGATTTGTAAAATTCCCTGATTGAATCAGTCATCATATCTAAAATGTGAAGGAGCTTTTAATACGTTTTACAAATCACTCAGATAAATAAGACTTCAAATTCCCTTTAAAAAACTTAGATTACGAAATGTTTCTCATACAAGTGATGAAATCATTCCTCACATGTATTTGTATATTTAACCAGCGCGGCGTTGACATTCAATGCAATTTTAATGCCTTTCATTTGCAAAAAACGTTTCTATTATTTTAAATCAAAGGATTATGAATTACATGGTTTTTTATTAAGTTCTTTGTTTTTTTTTCTAAATAAGTCAATTATTATTATATACCTAAAGGACTATTATCAATAAACTACAATACCTATTCATTACGACAATGTTTCGAAGTTAAAATATAAAATGTGTAAGATGGTTATTGAAAACTTTTTATTAGAAATGTTAAAAAAGATTTTTTGTGTTCTCTGAATTACTTCATAAAAATAAGACAATTACGAAATTTCACTATAGTGGACTTAACCTTCTACTTTGATTTGATTAAATTATTAAGATTAAGTTTTAAGATTTGTTATTTTATTGTTTTTACCCATTCATTCGCAGTCACTTTGGAACTTTGGATGCTAAAACAAGATTTTAGACAAGAAGATCTTTTATTTTTCAAAGTAGAAACAATTTTATTCAACTTTTTCCAGCGATACAAATAAATAATAATAATAATAATAATAATCAAATTTCAATTCTCTCAATTTAATTGTGAAACAACGGGTAAATTAAAAAAGAGTAGTAACTTTTAGAAAAGCACTTTAAAAGTATGTAACACCCGAATCTACATAGATATATAAAAGTATTCAAGATAAAAAATAGTATAAACGCATTATCGTTACAGATAAAATAAATACAGTCAAGAATATCGATATAGGCAACAAGACTGATTCTGTTGGTATAGAAACATTGTAACCACAAGTGGTCATAGAATTATACTTGAATATACTATAACCGCATTCATATTACTTGTAAGTTAATTTAGTTTTTACGTAAACATCCCGGGCGTGATAGAAACACCAAACTGTCGATTACATATATTACGAAAGCATTAAAAATGTTAGGAAATTAAAAGTCGAGTTATATAGACCAGTTGCTTGTAAGCGAGCGAAAGTATGGTCAAAAAAATCTTTTATCAAATACCGTTTACTAATTTATTTCTTAACTCAAAAGTCATTGTACCGTAAGCCCGTATTTATATTCGTGTTGCACGTACCTTACAATTGACTCTGTTGTATTATGGTAAATACAAAGCCTTTAGATCAATCTCATATATTATACAAAAACTTTATGAAAAATCTAATATTTAGTTTTGCTTGCCTATTATCTTTTTAAATCACAGTGTAGGTATCTTTTTTATTTTTATACAGTAAAAAAGGACAGTATTCTGTTTTGCAATCTATCATTTTTGATGTAACATTAAATTTAACTGTCCGTAACGCTTAAATTTGTGGTCGTCTATGTGTTATGGTCTACGGTTTAAATATTTCTAGACACTTGCACAATAACGATCATCGACCTGCTGAACCACATATCTTCGTCGTTTTTGGCGCCATTCCGTTACTTCGATTACATTTCATTCAGAAAAACTGTGCAGCTGTTATTTTTTATCTGTTAATGTTTATTAATTTAATGCTAAAAATACAATAAATGCTTCTTATTTGAAAATATCAATCAAGGTAACTAAGTTTTTGAAACATTTTAAATACTCGTAAGTGATGACGTAATACGCCTGCCTTTTCACAGGGTCGTTGTGCTTATAAAATTATTGTTTTAATAGACTATAAAAAATGATCCTAAAATAAAACTTTATTATTTCACTAATCTTGATGTTTTATAATTAAAAAAATTTAATCAGATAATTACATATTATCTGATTTAAATTCTTTAATTAAAATCGGACATAAATAGTTAAAAGTTTTGTTTCATCGTATAGACAATAGGTACTTAGTATAAGTATCCGTGACTAATTGTACTTATGTATCAATATGTGTCTTAAACAATTTGTTTTCTTTATTTTGGTTCTTGTTATTTCGAATACCTACCTCAGAAATTCAATTATTTTAGAGTACCTGTGATATAGAGTAAAAAGCAAGTCAAGTTAAAATGATGTACAAAATCTGACAACAAAAGAAACGAGATTGTAAACAATGGAAAATCAGACTGAGTGCTTTGCCCAGCAGTTCACCGTGAACGAGAGAACATTCCCGAAAGAACTTCACAATCAAGCAATCTATAAAACGAAATCTAGCAGCACTTACAAAGCTTTTGATGTATGTGAACTCAAAAGTTAAAAATCAAATAAAAATTCTGTTGTATTGTTTCTTTTCCTTGGTCATAAATTATAAGATTTAAAATTATAATTAGAATATTTGGATTATGTAACGGAACTTTCTTAGCCATACCTACCTACTTCTATTGCTAAGGCAATAGAGAAACAATACATTATCATAAATTAATACTTTTATTATAGTAGTATTTAATTTCGAACTATTTCAATATTTTTTAGTATTAGCAAATAGAAATTGAGAGCTCCTGTTTGGTCTCCCAACTAGTTGATGGATAATTATATGATAACTTGCACCGCTGTTCAAAGAGATTGCTATATTCGTCTGATGTGCTTGTAGCCTCTCACGATAATCTGTTTAAACTGGATATGATTTTCGTTCAATAAATTTCATGTACTACAAAGTGATTATTTTACTTGATATACGAAAAGAAACGAAGCAAACGCACGCTAGTATAAGATTATTGTCATGAGAATAAAATAAATACGCCCTGGCTATAATTCATTTTTCACACTTTCTAGTTCGTAAATCTTGAGTAGTTCAAAATCGATTTATGTGAGAAGTGATGTGGGCGGAATACCAGTTTTACAACCTAAAATTGAGTTGTAGCCGGTCTTTAAATCAGTTGAATTTGAATGTGCAAAATTTTTAGTCAATATTTCTATTAGGTGTAGGTATGCAGTCATAATAATTAAAAAAAATTATAAAAGTTTTATTAAATTAGGATATTTGTTGAAAATCTTAAATCATTAGAGATTATTTTATTTTAAAAAATCGAAAAAGTGTTAATCTGCGAGTTCTCAAAATTCTTATTTCATAATAAGCGATAAAACGTAGTATACTACATATAAGTGGGCAAGGGTAATTCTCAAACACGTAGATACATACATTGATCTCAATGGAGCATTTCATAATACTATGTACCAAGAATGGCAATGAAAACTATAAAACTATGTTTGTATATTAGTGACTGCCTGCTGGAGGTCAACGCATTATCAGAAAGGAGGCTTTCGCAGTCGCGTGTAGAACTATTGTAGTAATTTTTATACTGTGGTAGATGAGGCAGATAGCTAGGTGGCATAGGGTCAGAAAAAAATCCGCTTGCCTACTCTTAACATTTTGTCTCTTTTTTTCCATTAAAGTCTTTTTATTTACAAAAAATATAATACATACATATGCATATTTATGATGTTTTTGTAAGTCGCTTTCAAAATGTTAATTTGTTCTTTGCTTTCCGGAAAGAAGATATGGCATTCACCAAAACAGATTCAACATTTTCTAGTTTTAGTGAACGGTGCGATTATAAAAAGTAACATGAAATACTATCCATATTTAGCAAGATTGTATTCATGAATGTTTAAAACATTAAGACAAAATAATTTTTTTTTGTGAATTTTTTTTATAAATTACGTCCAGTACATAGGAACTTGTGCAATTTTCGTAGAAAATATCAATGTATTTTCTTAATAAAAATATATTTTAGGATAGGAAACTTAACAATTATCATGATGCAGTGAAAACTATAAATAAATTGCATTGGAGAAAATTATTGAGTAGGAAACACTGTAAGCGTATTAAACATCCATTACGCCCGAAACGTTAGTAGGAGGCAATCTCTATTACTGCAGAGAAAGTACCGGCGATATCAACGCTTATTTCATAACAATCTTATTATTACAACCTAAAAAAAGATCTTAATAAAATAGAAGCATTGTTACTATACCTTGAATAAAATATCTTTTGAATTAGTAAAAAAATACCCTGTATAGAATTATAACAATATACATATAAGATTGTGTGCTTGACTGTATTGTCATTTGAGTGAAACGATACCATCAGAAAAACTACAGCCAAGTGATGTGGCGTAAACTTTTTTGATATTTGAATCATCAGCTTTGACATAATATTCATAAGATACATATATCTTATTTGGTTTTTAAAGATTATTAGCTTTTGATAAATTGAATTTCAATGTACATTCGAATATTATAAGAACATAGTTATGAGAGTAATACTAGGAAAATAATTGAAACAAAACACAATTGATCAGATATTTACGGGACGGAACTTTCGGAAGTAAATTAATATATACCTGATAAATGTTATATTTCATCAACTATTTTATATCAACATTTTATTTTCTATTTAAATGAAATAAAAAATAAAACAAGAGGCATCAAATTGAGGCCGCATCGCAAACGGTCGTTCTTGCATTAGTTGTGGAGCATTCTTTATGTCTATTTGTCTTACTTCATACAAAAACTGCTTGTTAAATAACTGGCTTTCACCATTTGATAGACCGTTATAAAAAATAAAAAAGTTCTATCAAAAACTAAAACGTACAAAGCTACATTTTTATTATTAGGTATGGAGTCAGAAAAATTTCGCATCGCATAATGCATTTTATAAACAAAGTAGGTAAATTCATGCATTTAGTAAGCCCCTGTTCTGAAGAATAGTTGTAAATATCAAATTAAAATTAAAAAATATTTTGAATCTATACACATATGCGTAAGAAATAATTAAAATAATACATTGTTCGTTTCCATAATCGCTATATCCTCAACCATTAATAAAAATTATAAAATTTATAAATCTTTTAAGTAAGTACAATAAATTTAACGCAAGCAAATTTAAATAAATAAATAAAAAATACTTAATTTTATAGTTTAAAGGCGTGTTGTGGTGAAAGATGTACTACTTATATATTT